ATAAGTTGGGGAACTAAGAAACTCTTGCTCTCGATCCGATATTACAGAGAGGACGGTTGTGGTCAGTCCGGGGTATACAATTCACAAAATGGTTTTCCTTTCTGAAATCTAGCACATGGAAGACAAGTTGAGAACACAAAAGTATCAAGATTTTATTCCAATTTCCTCCAGTTCAGTCAGGAAAATAAACTGATTTCGGATAGATGTTCGCTTCACATTCTGTGTTGTATTGTTCGTTGCAGAAACAAAGATTTGAGACTCGTTTTCGAATATTCTCCTCTGATCAATGTAAAACTCTGATCCACCCACCATAATTCCTAACCACAAGCTTTTGATATATAATCATTGAACTAACCGATCGGAACCGACTAAGTCGTTTCATGTCATTCAAATGGCGGAATAAATAAGTATAATCATTGTTTACTAATAAATCGTGAACAATATTGGAGAAAGTAGAGCAACCGTTGACCCTGAACTTTCGATTGCACGGTATACCACAGCTCTGCTCTTCATGGAGATCAACCGTGTGAGGAATTCATCGACAAATGATTGTTTCAATATGAAACTAGCAAACCGCCCCGGCTCTGTACGGGTGCAATGCTGATACTGAATATACATATAAACGCGTACGATCGCTACTAATCATAAAGTGCTATAGCGCCGCAACCCTGCATTTCAAATCTGTAGTATCTTCGAAAATATTTACTTAAACTATGCTGTAATAGGGCCATAATAATCTACATTAAATGCACAATGTATTTAGGGTACTAAATTGGATAAGGATTAATGCTATATTGCTCAAAATATCTTCGTAAATAAGCCATTAATAAAAAATGGTTTTTGTGGGTTATCTTTGAGAGATGGACATATACCATCCCGGACTTTTTCATAGATCTTTTTAGGGTGTACAATAATGTAGTACATTATTTTTGATCTATCTCGTAGGGTTCAGCCAACGTGTGCAATGTAAGCGCAAAAAATGTGTTTATTCACGACACCACATTGGAATCCTCTGAAAGTATCTGTGGTTCCTCTACTATATTATGCATGTTCAAAGTTCGCTAACTTCAAGTCTGACAAATGGTTAGATTAACGAAAATGCATGAAATAACAGTTTAACAAATGATTGGTTACGAAGATAAAACCCGAACACAACAGGGAGGAGCTCGCCTATTTCAGGAGAAATTTCCTAATTTACCGCCCCTATCTCAATAATAATCAAAATAGAGAAGCAGTTTCGCGAGCCAGATCATGTGGTCATAAAAAAAGTAGCTGCCAATTCAATGAGTGATGAATTCAAATCAGATGTGATGCTTGAGTTTGAGTAAAACTCACATATATCGAGTAGACAGGCATCCACTACATTCAATGTTAGCCATACATCGATACTAAACATATTAAAAGAAAATAAAATGCATCCCTATAAAATGATACCTACTCAGGAGCTCATGGAAGACGATTTTGATAAAAGAACTTATTTTTGTGAGCAAATGATGGGCATGTTGGATAACAATATCATCCAATTAGAAGTCGTTATGTTTTCTGATGAGTATACTTTGTTTCGATATGGTTTCAGCAGGATGGAGCACCACCATATTATCAAATTAATGTCCGGCAATACCTCGATACATTTCCCAATCAGTGAACAGGGAGGCGAGGATCTATTGAATGGCCAGCGCGCTTACCTGATCGTTCATCATTAGATTTATTTTTATGTGGATATGTAAAGGGCAATGTGTACAAAACTAAACCTTCTGATTTGAATGACTTAAAAGAACGAATAACGCTTGCGATTAGGTCGGTCACGCCTGATATGTTAAATAATGTTAGAAGACAGTTTTATTTGAGATTGGGATGTTTCCAAGACGTTTGCGGTGAACATTTTGAACATCTACTTCGTTAACATCCATAGTTCTTTTTCGTATTCTACATTTCATTACGTTTTACATTACATTTTAGTTTTTGAGTGTATTTAATCGAATTTCGATAACAACATGATTTTACTTTATTTAATCTTAATTGTTGCAGTAAACTTGAAAGCGATAACATTTTTGAATAGAGAATGAAGAGACCTTTCAAACGATGTATCACAAACCTATACTTCCCATTTAAAAAATTCGGGAATGTGAAGAATGTCAAATTATAATTTACATTTGACGTGCTTCATGAATTATCAAACAAAGAACACTGCTTTCATTTCAACACTATAGCATCACACTCTTTCCATTAATGATGAATAAATTTGTGAAACAATATAAACTGAATCCGTTTTTGAAATACCATCTCCGCAATAAAAGTTATTATCGTGCAAAAAGAAAACAATCCACTTCCTCTAAATTATGGACTAAGTAATAAAAGAAGTGAAATAGTGCTATTTCGAAACAATAGACTTCTTATATTCGAATAGCAAAACAACTGGTATTTATTTTTTTGAATGAAAGAAATTATTGGACGGTGTCTACTGAAATATATACAGAAAATGTAATAATTACTTAATTGAATAGAACTCGCTGATACTTGAAGTAAATCCATATTGAAACTCTTTAATTCAGTTTATTGTATTGCGATTTTTGTAAAACCCTTTATAGTGAAAATCATACGATAAACAGTATCAATGAGTTTCAATAATTACTTGTAACAAACTTCAACTTGAACTCTTGCAGCTCAAACTCTTGCAGCAGAATAAGTTATTTGACTGCACAGTCATTTTGCAGATGTGACAAACATGTTGCCCACTTCTCTACTAGCTCCATGAAAAATTAATGACTACTATTCCCACTCAAACAAGCGCGTCATTTTTCATTCGCATAGAAAATTATTAGAGAGTCGCAATCTCATTTCAACAAACTTTTCTATTAGTTTGTACTCATTTTACTTATGTAACAGATTTCTTCAACATATACCCATACTCGTTAGACATTATCTCGTAAAAGTTGTTACAATAAGGCAAAAATGGGTTAATGTACTTCCACGTAAGTATGATATGAGGTCATTGGCAAATACTATGAATAGAAGGGGGCCTAATATTGATCCTTGAGGGACACCTTGCGTAATGCCTAAAGGGTTACTGTTATTGTTGTTTATTTTAACAATTTGTCTGTCAGATACATAGGATTCTAGCAAGCTATACGGCGTTCCCCTCAGTCCATACCTTGACAATTTTGATAATAGAATATCATGACTAACACAGTCAAATGCTTTAGAAAAGTCTATGAAGAGACCCATAACAAGTTTTTTATTATCAAGAGATTGAATTATTTTGTTTTGGAATTCACATAAGGCTGTTTCGGTACTTTTTTTTGCTGTTAAACCGTGTTGCGAGAATGATAATAACTTGTTTGATGTGAAGAAACTGGTTAATTGAAATTTGATATTCAATTCATATAACTTAGATATGCTGGCTAACACACTTAAAGGTATATAGTTGTTGAGGTCATTGTTTTAAAGATAGGTGTTACTCTTGCTATTTTTAAGTTTGTTGGAAAGACGCCTTTTTCTGTAGATAGGTTTATAAGATAAGTTAATGGATGGGATAATTCATTTTGACATTGTTTAAGTAATTTGTTAGATATATTGTCAATACCACAAGAGTTGGAGTTTTTTAGACCATTAATTATACTTATTACATCATTTTCTGTAATCGGGTGCATGAAGAAACTATTTAGATTATTGTCGATATTTTGATGTGTGAATTGCCAATCATATTCGCTGTTGTTTGTCAGTGGTTTTGTGAAATGTATGTTGAATTCATTGGATAACTCTGTCTCATTCAAAGATTTGTCATTTTCCGTTATTACTATTTTACTATTATTCACTATTATCGTAGTTCATCCCTACTGTAGTCCAACAACTGTTTGGTATCAAGCTTCTATGGGTGAATAAACGGCTTAGAGTGAGCCAATCCTGAGAGATTCTGCCAGAAGTCCATACATTTTTTTGTCATCCAGGTGTTCAATCTTTGTTTGGCAAAGCCTAAAACGATGCCAATGACAGGTTCTGGTTCGAGGGAGTTACTTGTGGCATCCTCCTTTGCAAGAGAGTCAACACCTCCAGACAAAGATTATGTATAGGGCTATCGGAGAAAACCTGAAGTTACTCTCAAGAATCTGTCATGAATCATTTCTAGACTACTTCTGGGGAACTCAAATATATCCTAGGTACGCTTCCACAGACCCTAATAACATGTAACAGATGGCTTTTCAGAAGATTATGTTTCAAACTCATGGGTGTCAGACGTTTTTTAGACTATTTTAGACTTCTTGATATAAAAAGTTAGTAGTGAATTCTACTTTAATTCTTCATCAATATACACATGTAAATATTTCATATTTCTCACAAAATATATTGAATGATCAAGCAGGTTTGATATTACCATAAATAAGTTTTTTTAATTTTGATTATATCGCCTTGGTCAAAGACGAAACGGACTGGTTTAAGTTTGACGATAGTCGTGTCACGAAGTGTTCTGGCGATGCATTGAATTTATTGGAGCCTCTGGANACACCGTAGCTTCCTCGGTAGAAACTCTGAAGACTCTACCGAGGAAGCTACGGTGTTAGCGAAACGTGTCTATAAATAAAAAATTTTTGTGAAAATCACTTGGTTATTATCATGAATAGTGTTATTAATTTTCATCATGTGTTACCGGATATATAAGCGATGCCTCAAACATCCAAACCAAGCTTCAAAGAGAACGGAAAGATTTAATTTTTTTCAAATATTCAAACTTGTGCATGTGTGTGACTATTTCATACTATAATTTGAGTTCAGTTTCATCTTCTCAAATATCCGTAGCAGGTGAAAATAAACTACAGTATTTTTTGTCAGAACTTGTCAGAAAAACGTGATTTTCATTTTATTTGAAGAAGATCCATGGCATTGATACTTGCGCTGAAAAAATTCGCACTAACTTTTTTATAATTATGCCAAAACAAATATTCGAACAAAAAATTCACTGGTATAAACAGTTTTGGAATTTACTGATAGAAATTGTCACTTACCAATAATCGCAACCGCTAAAACGCACAGTTCACTCTTCATTTTGTTTGTAAAGTCCCTCACTACCCGGAAATGCACTGCTCTGCACCGTCAAAAGTCTACCTGTTAACTGAAGATCAACTGTCGCGTCTTCTACTTTTGAAACTAGCCAAACGGACTAGCTCACGGATGGCTTGGAAAGTTTTTCCACCACCAGCTATTATTGCTCTTCAGGGAGATCTTTATCTCTTTCACTCTGGGAATTGTTCTGAAGACACTGTTGATACTGATTTGAATGTTTTGTGGCGTTTTCGTTAGATGCTTCGAGTTAACCGAGAGAAATGCTCAACTTTCTCCGTACTTTCTATTCATGTATCGGAACCATTCATCAAGTAAAGCCATTTTTCTGAATCATTTCAAAACATCTTACAATTATCGTTCTGAATATTTTTCAAATAACTGAGAAATTGTAATAACTTTCCTAATGAATGTCGATTGTTGCCACAATACAGAGTTTTAGGCCATTTAGTAGTAGCAGTTTACTTAAATGATATCACTAATATACACTAATAAAAAGCATTCAACTTATTCAAAGTACATTCGTTCAAGATTTCAAATATATTTCTAACTATAAAACTATAAAGTTAACACTCTTATTAGTATGTAGGTATTTCAAAATTGTAACTTTTTCAGTGCTTGTGAAAAAAATTGTTATACAAATTTTATGTACCCCCTTTAAGGGGCTGTATCTTAACAAGGGATGCTCCATTGAAGTTTCTTTTTTTCGATGAGGAATCACCTCCTTGAATGTTTTACACTTATTCAGTTACACCCTGTATAATTTCTAGGTACCTTGTTAGATGAATCTCAGAATTAGGATCTGCATACTGATGGTGTTCGCATGGTGTTCGCGCTCAAGCAAATGGCATTGTAGATAAAAAACCTCTCAAGTTTATATTTTGCAATGGCGTACCCGCATATTTATTTAAATAATGTCATGGGGACGCAGTAGACATTTTATTAGAATATTTATTGTCCAAAAACGCAGTATAAGACTTTATGGATTATCGTGATAGGTGCAAACCTATTCTTATAAAGGAAACTATTATCAGTCCCAAGCATATATATTCAAAAGTGTAACTTATGTAAGAAACAATCCTGCATCTTTCTAAACAAACATACACATACATACAAACATATTGGTACTCTTCCACAAATCAAATACATTTAGAAATTCTCCAAACAGTTTGAGTAGAGCCTAGAAGATGAAAGCACGACCAGTGAAGAAATATATATCCTTTTCAATTTTTAACAAGATTCCTATGGCTGGGATTAAATCAAATAAGCAAATGAATGCCATTACGTACTGTCATCGAAGACATGAGTAGACAAGATGTAAAGTTGTAATTTTATGAATGAACTGAATGCTTGATCTTGTACCTAATGTTATCCAGAATGGTGCTGAAGATGTAATAAGACCAGTGTCTTATTCCGAAACATCGTATGTCCATCATTGAGGAGCACAGTGTTCCATGTGAGTGCAATTTTACCTCTTCCATTTACCATATTGTGCAGCGATCCTGTCAATGAAATCTGATTCAATTCCAAAACGAATGTTCAAAGTAGGTACAAACTAAACAGGAAAAGGAGTTTTTTTTATAATTCAATGTTCACAAAAAATACTTAAAATGATGCCTTTTTATGTAAATTTTGTCCCATCATAATATCTAGTCCTGTTCAAGAGTTAAAAAAGGGCGACTTTTTACTTCCACACTGTATAACATATGACCATCCCGATAATTCGGTTCTCATCGCCATTTTCTCAAGCTGTGTAGTTGTATTATTAATTCAATGGTTTTTTTCTGCAGTCGAGGCCGTTCGATGCCACTTTCCGACGATCAGTTAATTAAACATTTGCTTCTCCGCCTGAAACATTCTCCTCTAGGAGGCTATTTTGAATAATTCACTAGGTTTCATGGTCTCTAGATAAGATGAGAACCGTGGCAAGGTGAATCCATTGTTTCATTTGTTTTAATATATGATTTCGTGCTAGCAATACATTATACTGCTGGTATCTGAAAAATCTCCGCTTACTCTGTTAGTTTTTCCTATTGACAAATGTTTCTCCGTACTATCATGAATAGGAATTCATTAACGCCGAAAATTCCATTGTTTATAATGCCCGAATTTCATCTACTGACTGTTTTGCAATGGAATCATTGCAATGCTCTGCAATGTAACAAATATTTTACGAGGGTATCAGCATTAATTATTGTTCCCTTCATTGCTTTTGTAATTTTTCAACACTAAACTTTCAACCATTTATGAAAAATGAGAATCACAAAGACGAAGTGGATGTGGAAAATAGTTGAAAAACAACAGTTATTATTTCAAAAAGGAGAAACCCTCACTATTTCAAAACAACTCCTGGTGTTATTCAAACAGATTTCAATTTAGTATATTTCTTTGAGAAGCAGAGTAATGACTCCTTTTCAGGTAACTATTTCACAGACTTTCATAATGATATCATATGATTTAATACAACAAATTTTGAAAGAATTTCATAGTGAGTAACAAAAATATGGAACACTCTCAATACTAATTAACAGATTTGTTTTTAATAAGACAGTCAAAATTTTTTCTAATCCTAAACTTCGATTAAAAGTTTCAATTTTTTATATGAAAAGCACATTTTAATGTATGACTTACATGTACAACTTGCCTGATTAAATCAAACATATCTGAGATATTTTCAATGTTTGCCAGATCCGATATAATTTTCTGAAGAATGTGAATTAATGTACTTTCAAGAGAGATTAATTTTTGGGAAATGAAGGTTTTGGCTTTTCACTTCTCCATCTTCATACAAAAAAATTTGAAAATCTTGTAAATAAAAAAAGAAAACAACCAATTTCAAAAAACTAACTATATACAAAGATGTGTAGATTATGCAAAGGAGTGACTTTCAGACACAAACTGGAAAAAAAGCCCTTTCGAAACAACTATTTCCATATAAACACTGAATTACATGAAAGTTAAATAGTTTCGAAGCCACTTCTTTTACATTAACATTTTTCTCTATTCAGTTTGTATTGAAACATTTGTTGTGGAATTGAATCAGATATCATTCTTAGGGTTGATACACAATATAGTAAATGAAACAGGTGAAATTTCACTTACATGTAACACTGTCATCCTCACTGGTGGACATCCGATGTTTCGGAATAAGACGCTTGCCTTTTGTTGCTTCTTCAATACCAATCTGAATGATATTATAAGATGTAGCACTCAATTCATTCATAAAATTACGATTTATGTCATGAATTAGTTGAATATACTAATGTCATCGATGGCACTACGTAATGGCATTCATTCGCTTATTTGAATAAATCCCCTTTCAATTAAAATAATATTCTTTTGGCTGGAAATCTCCGAAAAAGCTACAATTATATCCACTGCGACTTTTTCGAAAGGAGTTCAGTGGGAATTTCTTTGCAAATGCTTTGTCATTGTCCAAATAGTCCTGATAGCTTAGGCCTTATTCAGGAAGAAAAAAGAGAAGTTGAGTTTGGGTTGAACCACAGAATACCTTACCATATACAGAAGGAACACAAAGCACACAGAACAAGAACGATGATTTTTGTTTGAGAATCTAGAGGTGATTACTGTCAACCTTAAAATTTCGTCGAGTGGTTAATGAACTTGAACATGATCAAATTGAGCTAGTTTGATTGAAATGTTGACCTAAAAACCTGCCGATATGATTTCGTGATAATTCCTCGACTGCAACCAAATTATATATTTGGCCAAGTTTCAAATGATTTGAATAACAATAAACACTGGAACACAGATTATATGTCACAGAAATTTTGACCGTCAACATAGGGTTTGTTACGGTTTCAAAACCACTACCTCAATTTTTAGTAAACCGGCTAGTAAAGAAGGAAGAGACGTTTTCTTTCTAAAGTTTCCAAATGTCGAAATGACATGAACTGTCATAAAAGACAGATGAATTATTTGTAGAAAAAAACGATAATTCGTAAATAAACTTTGTGAATCTGCCGATTCCAGCAAAGATACAAAGACTCGTTTCATATTCCTGACATATACAGGGTCGTAATGAATCGTAATACGAAATAAATTATTTTTGTTATATTTTAAGTAAACTATGAACTATGTGGGATTTTATAGACTTTCCCTTTCTCCATTATAAAATCTACTGGAGGTTTATTAAAAATTGAGGTAGTGATTTTGAAACCGTAACAGGTTTGCATCATAGACATGATTTTATGTATTGTCCGTGACCTCACTTTTACATATATTCCACCTGCGGATCACACAACGTCTTGGTCACTGCGTCATAAGATGATGTGAAAAATTAAATCTCAAAATTTTACAAAGGACATATGCAACAAACACGTAAAACATTGTGACGTCCTATCTGACCAACGATTATTTGCTATTTGACGTTAAGAGTATGAGAGACGTAATGCGAAGAAGTGAATCTCTTCATCTTTTTTTAGTTGTAGAAGTCAATGTTCTCTCTTCAATGGTCAGTCCATATTATGTCTTATGACGTCACTGGTTTTGCATACGAACCCTGCGTTGAACTCCGTTGAACACTTCAAAGTGACTTAGCTTTAACCCGTGAAAATCGGAAGTCGTGTAATGACCGATTCATTACTTAAAGGTACATCAATATCTATGCGAGCAGACCAACCCATCATGAGAAGAAAAATTGCGTAGTAAATATGAAATTACATTTTCCTGATTAAAAAATTGAAACTCTAAAAAAAATTCTACTTCCTGAAACCTTTTCATTTTGTATCGGAAAATATGTAATCTTATTAAAAAAATAAATCAAAAATCACTAATAATCAGTCACAATCACAAAGCTAGAGGCAGCATTAGTGGGGTTTTGTCGCGTCGAGAGACTGTATGTTTTGTTCTGGTGTTGGAAAAGTATTTTCAATAGATTCATTTAACGCCAGAGGTTCCAGTCGGAACTATCATCTCAGTTGATATTTCACGAAAGTTATCAACCATGGTCTAGCAGTAAAAAGTAAAATAAGGACTTTTTTTGTCAGGCTGCAAAACTAACAAAAGAATTGAAGGTTGAATGTGGTAAGTATGTAAATATCTATCATTTGTACGTACAATTGTTAAAGTGATACTTCTCAGTCCCCACCGCGGATAGAAAGCTAGAATGAGTTCGTAAAAGTCTAACTTGAAGACTCTGAGCCGCCAAACTGCAAGGCTTAACTATAAGCGAGCTTGAAGGTGACTTTTATCACGGTGCATATAAAATTCACTTATAAAGCAAACTCAAAACCAGGCTCAATACTGTACGCAGAATACGGACATGAAATATTTATTTGATGTTGAAAAAGTTTTGACAATTATGTTGGCTAACCTGTGTATATTTTACTTTCTTGTTTTTAATATTGGTCTTAGTACTTCTGATTGTGATTACTAACATAACTTTTTAATCGCGAATGTTTTTCTTGTAAATGTATAATATAAATGTTCACTATATAGTGCATAAATTAATCCCCGCATTGTCTCCTCTTGTATACGTTATATATTCCAACTAACCGGATAATTTTAAATTATACTCGCCGGTCGCTAAAAACGGGAATTACGCTGTTCAACTTTCCCTCGCTGCGGAACCGGAAAATAGGCAACCAGTGACAATCGAAAAACAAATGAGTAATCGGAATAATGGCGGTTGCTGTCGTAAGTGAAGTTATTTGGAAGTAAACCAGTGGAACTGTCAGATATTCGTATTATTTTCGTAATTTCAAGTAGTCACCAAGAAACACAAATCAAATACAGTTTCAAACGGAGGTGTAACGTCATCACAAAAATGAGTGTTGATGCGTATGGACCAAGTTCGCAAACTCTCACGTTTTTGGACACGGAGGATGCTGAGTTGATCGGAGCAGATACTCAAGGATCTGAATGCGAATTCACAGATTTCACTATTCCTTCGCAAACGCAGGCCTCTCAGCATGATCACGCCGGCCCCAAAGTTGCGGGGGTACAGGTTAGTACCAAGGTCACATTGGTGAGGATATGCTCACGTGAACTAAAACGAAAATAATATGTTAACGTGGCTGAATACTGGTTTGTTTTGTTGGCATTCATTTCTTAGAGGTTTTACTACAATCTGGAAACTTTTTGACTAATACATTTCTTCTTTTTTATATCTGATATGATAAAATGGTTTTTGTTGGTAAATATTCCTTTAAACTGTTTACCTTACCATCTGTTATTATTGGAGTGCTTTAGGGATCCTACATTATTTATCGTTTTTATAAAAGACCTGTTGTATTTCATTAGTCAAATTAAACCTTGTACTATTCTGTCGTATGCTAACGAATATTTTGTTGACACAAACTTCAAATATGGAATCAATGGCGGAAAGCACCTTCTAAATGACAAAAAAGGTGTCATTCCGATTGCCGTGCATCTAATCTAGCTTTCTGTCTGCGGTGGGGACTAACAAGTACCATTATAACTCATAATTATACATTCAAATAACAGATATTTATGTATCTACAACATTCAACTGTACGGCCTTGTATTTATTTCATTGACTAACGAAAAAATTCCTATTTTGCTCTTTATGAATGGACCATACACCAAAATTTTCACTTCATCCCAACACTTTTATAAGTATTTGACAACTTTCTTGAAGTAAAAGTTTGGTGTATGATGTGTTGAGGTATATTTAATGCAAAAACTACTTCAAAATTCTAAATATTTTTTCTTATTGACTAATTTGATTTCCAGTAATTTGATTTCTGCTTTCATGTGCTGAAATCGAATATCCAAAATATGGAATATCTTGTATATGTGCTGTTATTGGTTTACTATGGTTTGATACAATCAAATATATCCTATTGGTTGATATTTTGGGGAGGCTCAACTCAAATAGAAAAAGTATTTCTACAGCAAAAGAAATTGATTAGATGCATAAAAGGGGTACATCAAAGAATATCATGCAAAGAAATATTTTCAAGTATAAGGAATTCGAAGTCCTTTATACTTGAATTTTACAATTTTGAACAGTTTACTTTGATTTTGACATTAACATTTCCTTCTCTCTGTTTATTTTGCTTGAGAAGAATGATTTTCTTGAAGAATTTCAGGAATGTTCAAGCATTGTTACCTACATGTATTTTGAGCTTCAGAAAGCTTGGCTTAATTACGGTGCTGAGCTGAGCTTAATTTTGGCTTTGCATTATATAAAGACATAAGTTTCATGAACTTTCATTATATAGTTTGCTGAATTAGTCTGAATTTTGAGGAAATTAAAGGTCCACAGAAGATGATTGTGGGAAGAATGCATCAAAAATTTTTTATTACTGATAGGAAATTCCTGAAATTGTTTACTTTTACACTTTTGAGTGGAAAGTAAGACAAGACCTATCTCTAGCAGTTGAAATAAGTATTTAACATTTTCATTTTTAAATTGGTGATCAACCAACTAAAATACATAATATTTATTAAAAAAAAAAGGATGTGACATAGTTGTAAACCCACTAACATTTTTCAGCTAAATAACAACATTGTTGCAAAAATCTCCACTGTAACAGCTACACTGGGTGATCTGCAATTTGAAGAAGACGATGAGGAAGGCTTTTTCAATGGCAAAGAGTTGCCAGATTACGCATGTAAATATTGTGGCATACACGACCCACATTGTGTAGTTTTGTGCAATTTATGCAAAAAATGGTTCTGCAATGGCAGGGGAAACACATCAGGAAGCCATATAATTAATCATCTCGTAAGTCTTCACTATCCTTTGATGTTTTTTTTCCATAAACTATTCATTGTTTCTAGGTGAGGGCAAAACATAAGGAAGTTACCTTACACAAAGATGGGCCATTGGGAGAGACAATTTTAGAATGCTACAGCTGTGGAGTGCGAAATGTATTTGTTCTGGGTTTCATTCCAGCAAAAGCGGATTCCGTTGTTGTTTTGCTTTGCAGACAACCATGTGCAGCACAGAATTCCCTCAAGGTATGTTTATTATGTTGAAAAAGTTTATTAAATCTGCATCTGGTTCTCTTTGAGTCTACATTCAAGTTAATCAGTAACTAAATTGACGAACCTTATCCTCTCAAACCTATTTTAGAAATTGTATTGACGTGTCTAAAAACAGTGTGTTTCTTGAGATTAATAAATTATTATTATTATATCCAATCCTAAATGCACATGACCTGAAATTTGTTTTACACTCTCTCAATCCCAGAAGTATCTATCTGATATAGAGGACTGTATATTCCACAAATTCTAAGACTGGGCAAGATGTTACTGTGGATAGTAGTAGCTCAGCTGTAAGAGAGTTTTTTCTCTAACGTTATTCTAAAAAAAATATGAGTAAAAAAAAACAGTGTGCTGGATCTACCAGATAACAATCCATGTATATCTCTTGTATGTCTGAGCTGTTTCTATAAATTCTAAAGTTCAACTACTTTTACTTTTTTCTTTTATATATTTTTTCCTGCAGTGTCCCTCACTGTTGTAATAACATTGTAACGGTCTGCCTTCCCTCCTGTGCCTATTGGCATGTTCTTCTTTATCCAGTTGAGCATTTGATCTCATGCAATTATATTTCTTCATTTTCATGTACCTTTCTTTCCATAATATTTCATCAAATTAGTTTTACTTTTCTATTTTTTAGGTTCCTTTGGTTCAACACATTCTTCATTCTCAGATGGAATTTGTTAATGCAAATCTTAGTTGCTATTCTTTCATTTATCAGGTTGAAATTCTTTATTTCTTTCCTGCATTTCCAAAGATCTATAAACCTGTCCTTCCTCTCTTATCCTTTGTTGCGAGCACTGAATGAAAATCTCGCTATACATTTTTCTTTATCTTTAATTCACATCAATTATTGTTTATTTCTCAAGATTTGCTGATTTCATGTCACCGCTTTTGTGAATTCCTTCAGTTTATCTGTACCTATTCTCAGTCTAGTGAGAAAAATATTTTCCTTTTTTGTCGATCTATTATTTCTAGGTTTCGTTGTATATTTTTCAAGTTCTTGATTGCTTTGGTCACCTTTTTCCTCTTATTCTATATTCCATTTGGTATATTTTAATTCTTACTGTAAGTCTGTCATCAGTTCAATCAGTTTTTAATTTTTGTTTCATTCTTTTTGTTTCTTTTTCTGAATTATTCAATTTCTTTTTTGTCATTTGCTTGCTTCGTCTGTTGAGTAGCAAAATGTGATACATTTATAGAAAATTGAACTCGTTATTTTAATCAGAAAAGCTGATTCTGTTGACATTTTCATTTGTCATGATTATATTTCAAATCATTTTCAGGATATGAACTGGGATCAAGACCAATGGAAACCTTTAATAGCAGATCGTTGTTTCTTAACGTGGTTGGTAAAAATACCTTCGGAACAAGAACAGTTACGGGCCAGACAGATTTCAGCTCAGCAGATCAATAAACTTGAGGAACTTTGGAAAGAAAACGTTGATGCGACTTTTCAAGATCTTGAAAAACCCGGAGTGGACGAAGAACCTCAGCAGGTAATTAACAATTTTTAGAAAATGGTCTGTTCTCAACATTTTTTTTTAACAAGGTCCTTCTCCGGTACGAAGACGGCTACCAGTACCAAAATATCTTTGGTCCCCTAGTAAAGTTAGAAGCGGACTATGACAAGCGTCTGAAGGAATCTCAAACTCAAGAAAATATTGAAGTACGCTGGGATGTGGGTCTCAATAAAAAGACCATAGCTTATTTCACCTTGGCCAAAACGGATGGAGACATGAAGTTGATGCACGGAGACGAACTGAGGCTGAGATATGTTGGAGAGATGCACAAGACTTGGGCAGGCGTTGGACACGTAATAAAGGTCCCTGACAATTATGGAGAAGACATCGGTATAGAGTTGAAGAATGGTTCTGGGGCCCCCAGCGAATGCAGCAGTAACTTTGTTGTGGATTTCATCTGGAAAAGTACCAGTTTTGACAGGTATTGATTATTTTTGAATTAATCTCACTTCTTTGCGATCTATCTAAAGCATTTGACAGTGTTTCACATGACATATTATTGGGAAAACTTGAAAAATATGGTATTAGAGGCATAGTATATGACTTAATACATTATTTTCTGACATGGAGTACCTCAGCATGGAGTGCCTTAGGGATCCGTACTTGGTCCCCTTTCATTTATTATCTGCATAAATGATCTTCCTACATATATTGATACAGCAGATGTTTTTTTATATGCCAATGATGCAACTTTTGTCATAAGTAAAACAAGTGGGTAAACAAGATCAGTTGTCATGTGAAACACTGACAAAATGAGAAACATACTTCAGCGCAAATGTTCTATGCTTGAACGCAAATAAAACTTAGGAAATAACTATTGCAAATGATCCCAAATGTCTGACGGTGACAAAGAGGTGTATCTACTAGGATTCCACCTTGACAACAAATTAAATTGGAATGGACATAGGACATCGTTATGTAAAAAGCTCTCGAGGTGTCGCAACGCAATGAGGGGACTAAGGAGTTTAGTTTCGAATGATGTGCTGAGAATTGCATATTTGGGTATGACTCATTGCCACATAAACTATGGAACACTGATATGGGGTGCTTCCTCACATGCAAGTGAAGTATTCATTATCCAAAAAAAGATAATGAGAGATTTAGAAAAAGTTGATTACAGAACCCATTCTAAACAATATTTATAAAATAGGTTATACTTACATTACCTCTCATGTATATTCTAGAAGCAATATTGTTTGTACATAAAAATAAATATAATAGTGGCTTCAGGATTCACAATTATGATACAAAATACAAAGGTATCATCAGGCTACCGAAGATGCATTAACAAAACACAGCCAAACAAACGGAGTTTCTTCCCATAAAAATATATAACACTTTGCCTAGTGAGTGGAAAGGCCTTCATATAAAAGAATTGAAGTTCAAAGTAAAAAATTCACTTTTCGCCCAAGCTTTCTATAAGATTGATGAGGTTATATAAGATTGATGAGGCTTATCATGGGATCTGCAAATAAAAGATGTCTGCAACAAATTAAACAAGACATTCTTTGCTTTAAGGCAAATGAAATCATGCATGGACACAGCAGGTCTACTAGAAATCTATTTTGCTATGGCATATTCACATATATCCCTCAATATCATAGCATGGGGTTGCAGTAATGAATTCATCAGAGTATTCGTAGCACAAAAGCGCATTGTTAGACTAATTTTCAGCATACCATATGTACATACTGTACCTCAGTGGCAAATAAATAAATAAATATTAAATAGTCAGTGGTCCTAATATATGTATATGTGGGTATGTGTGTATATATGTGTATTTAAATTGTGAGTCATAACTATTGTATTGTGAGATTTTTCCTTATGTACTGTATGTATATTTTTTATATTTTCAGTTTGACGTACCCAGTCAAATTTTGTTATTGCAGATATTTTCGAATGTAACAGAAATTGTAATTTGAGGTCAATAAAATTTCTTTCTTTCTGTGATAATTTCATGTTTCCTGGCACTGTATCAGTTAAATACTTATACATTTCAATATAAATTTATAGAATGCAGTTGGCTCTTAGAAAATTTGCTGTAGACGATACTTCAGTTTCTGCCTACATCTACCATCGCCTGCTGGGTCACGAAGTGGAAGAAGTTCTTTTCCGCTGCCACCTACCGAAACACTTTTCAGCACCAAACCTGCCCGACCTCAATCGTTCGCAAGTCTATGCAGTGAAACACGCTCTCCAGCGCCCTCTGTCTTTGATCCAAGGACCGCCAGGTACTGGCAAAACTGTAACGTCCGCCACCATCGTCTATCAGCTTGTGAAACAGAATGGCGGCCCAGTTTTAGTGTGTGCCCCCAGTAATACAGCTGTCGATCAGTTGACCGAGAAAATACACAAGACTAACCTCAAAGTAGTGAGACTTTGCGCCAAGTCGAGGGAAGCTATCGATTCACCTGTCAGTTTCCTAGCGCTGCACAATCAGATCAGAAAGATGGAAGGGAACACAGAGTTGCAAAAGTTGCAACAACTCAAAGATGAGACGGGCGAGTTGAGTTCCGTCGATGAGAAAAGGTACAGGATGCTGAAGAAAATGGCTGAAAAAGAATTGTTGGAAGCTGCTGATGTCATTTGTTGCACTTGTGTTGGAGCTGGGGATCCCAGGCTAGTTAGATTGAAATTCCATTCAATATTGATCGACGAGAGTATGCAAGTAAGTGTTTTGACTGTTTGAACGATAAGTTTTTTTCAATTGAAATTTTCATCTAGGCCACAGAACCGGAGTGCATGGTTCCAGTCGTGTTGGGCGTTAAACAACTAATCTTAGTCGGTGACCATTGTCAGTTGGGTCCCGTTGTGATGTGCAAGAAAGCAGCCCGAGCAGGTCTCTCACAAAGTTTATTCGAACGTCTGGTTGTTCTCGGTATAAGACCTTTCCGCCTCGAAGTGCAGTACCGAATGCACCCAGAACTTTCACGTTTCCCATCGAATTTCTTCTACGAGGGCAGTTTGCAGAATGGTGTTAGCGCAGAAGAGAGAAAACTGAACAAAATTGATTTCCCTTGGCCAATAGCTGAGAGACCGATGTTTTTCCTCGTTACTCAGGGTCAGGAAGAAATTGCAGGATCTGGAACCAGTTACTTGAATAGAACAGAGGCTTCCAATGTTGAAAAAATTGCTACGAGGTATTCATGACACTTCAATTTTCATAGTTCCTTCACTGAATCGTTTATTTTTTGTTTCAGGTTTCTGAAATCTGGCGTGAAACCTGAGCAAATCGGTGTGATTACTCCTTATGAGGGTCAAAGGGCCTACCTCGTTCAGTACATGCAGTACCAGGGTTCCCTACATAGCAAATTATACCAGGAAATTGAAATTGCTAGCGTCGATGCTTTCCAAGGTAGAGAGAAAGACATTATAATAATGTCTTGCGTCCGTTCTAATGAGCACCAAGGGATAGGTTTTCTCAATGATCCCAGACGGTTAAATGTTGCTTTGACTAGATCCAAATATGGAATAATCATTGTAGGTGAGTGAACAATCATATTTATTATGGAATCGTAATGAAGTTTTTATTTGGGGTGCCTGGTGAACTTGAGATTGGAACCCAATTACTTTGAATGTGTTCGTATGAAACCCTATGATTTATAGATATAATGCTAAAATGTTGAACTGTTTTTTGTTGTTTTCTATTAAATTCAGTGGTGTGGAATCTATTTGAATAGTCTCTAAACGAAGAGAAAGGGGAATGTTCCTCCTGACGAAAATCAAGTAGTTTTCATAAAAGAGTGCTGTAGAAAGCTTTATCACTGAGATATGTTAATATTCTAGTCCTAACTGCTAACTTGCTACCGCTCATATCTATTAGATTTTTCATCTTATTAAAACATTTTACACCAACATATTTTGGAGAATTTTGACCAATGAGAAGCCTGGAAAAGGGCAGATAAATATTTTAGTTATTCCTTGTATCATGTGCATGTATTTGGTCATTCTTCAGAAATGTATTTTCATTGTCCTTTATAAACGTAATCAAGTTCAAGATGTAGAGACAAGGAAACGTTAGTATTTTAGAATTTCAGAATAGTGGCTTACAAGATTCTGAAGGGTGAGTTTTATTCATAGCTCTGATACAATTTGAATTGCAAACATTTTCTACACTTGCTAAAAGGATTATTTTCAGTTTACCACCAATGACTTTGATGGTTTTCCTAATTTTTAATTCAAAAATTGGGTTGATGCAAAAGTAGTGAGTTAATATTTTGTTTCTGTAGGTAATCCGAAGGTATTGTCCAAACAACCGCTATGGAATCACCTCCTGTCTTTCTACAAGGAGCAAAAAGTATTGTGCGAAGGACCTCTGACGAACCTCAAGGAATCCCTCATCCAATTCGCCAAGCCGAAAAAGCTGATCAATGCCGAAAACCCAGGTTCCCACTTCATGACTACTTCTATGTTTGACGCTCGAGAAGCCATGGTACCAGGCTCCGTCTACGATCGTACCAACCAACCGATGAACGGACAATTCAACTACCCCACCACCCGCGGCATGCCCTTGGATATGTTCAGTCGCACCCACGATCCGATTAGTTACATCTCTCCCGAACGTGCTCAGGCAGGCATGAACTTGCCCGTACCGGTTGGGATGTTCATGAACATGGCCCACATACCGCCGAGGTTCTACAATCAACACCAGCAGGCACTGCAAGCACGCCAGCAGCAGAACCCGCGGAACAGGAAGCCTCCACAGAGGCAGAAGGGCAAAGGGTTGAGCCAAGACCACACCCAGCCGTTCAGTCAGAGTCTTCAGTTGACGCAGGGAATGTCTCAACCTGGTTTGTCGCAGCCCGGTTTCAGTCTGAGCCAACCGGGTCTATCGCAAGCAGAACTCAGTCAGGATCCCTACATGGCAGAATACCAGTCACAGATGGATGGTTTGTTGTCCCAAGATTCAACATACCAGGGAGATAGGTGAGTTATCTTGTAGCTTTCCATTTTGTATTGATTGGTCTGAAAAGTTTCTGACCTAACAAAGGTACAAGACATTTCGCAAAATGGGGAATGTTCCTCCTGATGAAAATCAAGTAGTTTTCATAAAAGAGTTCTGAAACAACGCATTTTAAACTTATCATTTCAGCCTTTTTCTTTAAAAAATTATTTGAATAAAAGGAATGAAATAATGCATTCAACATTTAAAGGGATTCATTTCTATTTCACCATTTGGCAACATCGGTTATAGCTAATAAAGGACAATGAATCTGTTACCTGTATGAGACAAACAAAGATGACATATTTCAGAGGTGTGCTATTCTGTTTACTTATGTTCAGAGTTCCGAGACATTCTATGACATGACATTTTGTGCACCTAACCTATCTTCCACTATATAAATAAATAACAAAACAACTGTTGTTTATGTGGCTTGTGGAGGTGGCATTGAACTATAATTTATATTTTGCCTTAATTGTTGATTTATTTGTGATATTAATTGTGATATTGTGATATTAAATTCTTAGGGGTCACAGTGGAAAATAATCTTACATGGGACATCCATCTAAACAAACTTAACTCTAGACTGGGTACTACAGCAGGTCTAATCCGTGCACTAAGAGATCAAGTATCATTAGATAGTCTGAAGATATACTATTAAGCACATATTCAATCTATTATTCAATACGGAATTATTTTCTGGGGATCATCCACACAGTCGTATAAAATCTTCAAAACTCAAAAAAGGATAATTCGCTGTATGTTAAAACTACCTCATAGATCAACATGTAGACCACACTTCAAGATGCTAGACATATTGACAGTTCCTTCAATCTATTTTCTGCAATTAGTCATGTTTGTCAAAGAACATTATAGTATCTTCATGAGAAACTGTGATCTTTACTCAAACTAAATGACTATAAATACCAGACACAAGAATGAACTAAGCATACCGAGACATGATTCATCATTTTTTGAAAAAGGACTGCATTACAAAGCCATAAAAGATTATCAATCTCTCCCAAGAGAAATTAGAAATACAGAAAACCACAACATATTCAGACTCTCAGTCATTGATTTAAAGTAAAACATGTATAAGGGACAATTAACAAATATAAACTATAAAATAATGCTTAAACACAGGAGCAGAGTATATGGACAGAACAATATTGAGTCCAGCTGAACAGCTACAAATATAAGTACATGAATTTATGAATATTAAGTAAACGTAAATATATAATTCTACATAATGAACATTGATAGCTTGTCAAGTAATGATGCGTAGCATTAGCAGCAAACCAATTATATGCTAATGTTTCGCTATCTCGTGTCATTAGTTGTAAGCTGGTTAAGTCATTGCTAGACCATAATAAAGTCGTATCATCTGCAAATTCATGTTGTTATTTGCAATTCTGTTGTAGGTCTGCATTTTACCAGCCTAGCAGCGCCCAGTTCTCCCAGCCCTATTGATTGAGTTCGGAAGAAGAATGACACTAGAATCGCGGGAGCGGTCTTCTGAAAATTTGCAAGTGAATGAGATCTGATCGTCAAATTGTCAGTAACGCAACAAACAAAGGTCACGAGATGTCGACTACGGAAACAAAAACACGAGACATAAAAAGAGAGAAGTAAATGAATGCCACGAAGAGATGTGGTGTACTTGCGTTAATAATCACAATCCCAGAGATGACAAAGCTCGGTCCTTCCTGTAGATGACGTTTTCACACCGCTGTGACTAACCGATTCCTATTTTCTTCAAATATTGTAAGTTTTATTTTAAATTTAATATGATAAGTTTCTTTTGTTAGCGAATGTCGACTGTATTGTATCGACTCGAATCACCCTGTTGATTCGACACTCAAACAAATACGTCTGCATTCTTGAATAACTAAGTATATTCGTAAATTATATCCCAACAATGAAACTTGTATAGCCTTAATTTTTATGTTTATTTTAATTTTTGGCATGTCAGGGTTATGGTTAAATTTCACATACAGGGCTTGTACTACTAGAATGTATTGTCGGATCATTGCTTATAATACGTCAACTAGTTCAGTGCTTTTATTTTCCATTCAACTTGTCTGTCTACTTCACTTCTTGTATGCAGATGTTCCGAGTCCTAAATTATTTTCAGATTGATTAAATGAAATTAAAATACTCGATTGTTTTTTTTTCTTCACTCCCTCACCCAGCCACAAGTATTTGAACCATGAGTATAATATAAATAGGTTCCTGATGAGGGCACAGAAAAAGAACAAGTTTGATTTATTTCCTCTTTATTGAATAAATTGATACAATCTCTTAATCTAGCTGAAGGAGTTGAACAAAAAAAAACTCCTCAAGCTTTACAAAAAAGTAACATTTTCACTTTACCCTATCAATTAATAGAAACACTAGAGATATATTCTTTCCAATAATGATTCTGAATTTTCGACATCAGCACTGGAAGAAATATATATCACCAGAACAACAAAAAGTGTTACAGGTGATATATTCCAAGTTATACAAGAGATTATTGTTTACAATTATTGTATCCGACTTCAAATATTGTCTAATAAATTTTTAGTAGATTTAGAATTAGAACTACAGAGTTATGAAGTCTTTGAAGTAATCCAAAACCTTCATTTACAAAATAAACAAACATTGAGTTCTGACACTTCTGCTCAGTGCATCATAACCTGAACGTGTATCAACTTGTAACCTCTTGAGAATCACGTACACTAATAGCTTTGAATACTTCTGTAGTTCCTGGACCATGTAACTGATCAGCACAAAACAAAAAGAAACTAGAGGAATATACATGGCAATTTGAGGAATACAATACAGTTCGGTATCTGACAACCTCCAAATAAATTCAACAGAATGCAGAACTCAATATTCATACAATCTTCAGTGTATCAACAAATCTCGGTAATAATTTGTTGATGGCAAAGTAATACGTTATTTTTGAGCTAACGGAAATACATCAACACTATAAAAAAGGTCGAAATTGTAGTATTCTCAAGGTAACAAAATCTTTAAAACTTTAAGGCAACGCTGTAATACATTTTCCGAGAGCTCAAAAATAATACTCAAAGTTCAATGACACGACATTCAACTGTTGCTTCCCTAAGAAATAAGTTTTGGCACATTGTGACTAAAATTTCAGGGTAGTGTTTTAGTTTTGGTATCGACAAATGGCAACAGAAATAATATATATAGCCCTGAAGCAACAAAAACTATCCCATAACCATTTTGAGATCAAATGTATATCAATCACAAATAATATCTTTGGAAACATACCCTCTCCACTATGCTAGTTTAGGTGTATAAATAAATGATAGAGGATTATCTTCAATAAAGCGATATCGATTTCACGTTTTTTATTGAAGAGCAATAAAGTTTGGATGTCCTATTTGTGAGAGGGTAATTTATTCACAGAATATTTACACCAATATATTTGGAAACATCAAAAAATTATGCTACAGAAATCAAGCAACGTTATAAATACAATCTCAACATTTAACGAAAACAATGAACCTTAATATTAATATACATATATATCTTTGAAATCGTTGCTTAATTATTAATTTGGGAGGTCACACCCGTTAATTGATATGTATCATTTGCAATTTTTCGCAAGCAAAGTGCCCGCAAAATCTAAGCGTAACGCTCTCACATAAGAAAAATAATCAACATTCACAAACAAGAATAATAACTAATACTGTTTTTTTGTCTGTGTCGAGTTTTTATAAATGTTTCGACACAAACGTTTTTTTGCTTTATTAATTTTTTTGTTGTTTATAATTTACATATTAAAATAAATATCAGACCATAATGAGCATCATGATTTTCTTTCGATTAGGCAACACAAGGAAACTCGTTGAAAAGCTTTGGGGTTTTTTTCAATAAATAATTAAATAACGTCACTATTTCAAAGTTGAAGGAAAACTTACCATACTTGAATATATGGCACATCCGATTCTGTTTATGAAATTCATATATACATACAGGGGTTTACTCAACTACACTTTCAAATCAATGTGGTAACCGATAAGCATTTCATGATGAATTGACGATGGCAATTTCATGAAAAACTTTCAGCCTAAACTTTTAAGTTTGCTGTTATCCAATAAGAGCATAGAATAAAAAAGCAAAGTTGACTTCAAAGCAAACAATCATATAAACTACATTCTTTGAGGTATATAAAATAATTTGCTGGAAAGTATAGGACTCAAATGTCGAAATAGGACTCGTCACTACTAAAGACTATAAATTTCTGGCAGTGTAAAGATAAAATAGCGACAGTGAAACGATGGCACAACCTATATACCATGGTTGGAACAGTAAATATAAAGTTTCTCATAAAGTCTGTAAAAAAATGTATTGCACGTATTTGAACAAAATGAATTTAAAAAAACAGAATATGTGAAAAACGATTACTAGTCCCGGTGTTGCCGAAAACTGCCATGGTCAGTATCAACACAAGAAAACAAACACAAAATAGAGCTTGCATAATATTTAGCGCAAAAGTTTCTCCTTCCCCTAGACAGAAATTTGTTCAAAATATTATCAATAAAAAAATATCTACCACCATTTGTAATAAACTGTATATAAAAACATGTCTTTATATATATATATATATGTCCAAAAACATTTTTCTGGAATGTAATCATTTGTTCATTACCTATAATTAGACGTTTTCCCCAAAGCTGTCATCATTATATCATCTTATCTCGTGCTTCAAACTCACCGGCAGAATATTGTTCAGCATTTTTGAAGTCGCCAATTCTTCGTAGGACAAAGTGATGATGGTTTTTATGAGTTTGAAACTCTCCAGATCGAAAACAGATCGTGCTGTGTTGGTTAAATCGAAAGGTTCTTCTATGCATAAGTACTTCCACTGATGGGGATCATTTTTGGGTGCTTTCAAGTAACGGCACTCGTCAATTGGAAGACTGGAGCCCGTTCGGACAGATATGGCATACTGCTGGAAATTATATAAGGAGTAATACTGGAAGAAGCCTATCAAAAGTTCCCCTAAACTCATGATATTGTCCGATTTGAAGTCTCTGATACTGGATATTTCCTCTTGGACATCCATAGAATGGCTTTCGTGATCCGAGAACTTTTCTGGAATTAATCCGTGGAGACAAGGCAGAACGGGTGGTGTTACTCCGCCTACAAAAATGCCACCAATAACAAATTAATAATTGATGTTTTTCTGATAAAAATAAAATCGAGATATCGATAAACTATCGTGATGTCTCGCATCTTGGTTGTTACCTACACCATTATCCTGCATGTAAAACAACATCTACAATGGTCAAGAAGGTACGAACTCAGTATATAAATCGGATGACACCCCATTGCAAGACAGTTTGAAAAGAGAAGTGATACAGTGCAATTATTGAGGGCATTCCAACTATTTGAATCACACGTTAAAAGGTAAGACCTCGTTAATCCATAGCTCTCGAGTTTCGACTTCTGAGGGTTGTCTTTCGTAGGGGTGCGACAGCTGGTTAACGGAAAAACAGATTTTTTTTTAACAGAATTTGGGTGATTAAATAAAGATTGGGAAAGAAAGTTTTCGGCTTTCTACTACTCCATCTTGATACAAAAAAAAAAGATGAGGGAATCTTCCAAAGAAAGGAAGGAAGGAATACATGGATGTGTAGATCATGCAAAGAAGTAACTTTCAGACACAAACTGAAAGAAAGTCCTCCTGAAACAGCTACTTTCATATAAACATTGAATTACACGAAAGAAACAAATTCTTTCGAAAAAAATACTTCTATATGAACACTGAATTATACAAAAGATACTTTTCTCTACTCAGTTTGTATTTCAAACATTCGTTGTGGAATAAAAATCAGATATCATTCACATGAGTTCTACTTTAAATGAATGCTAACAAATTGCACTTACATAGAACACTGTCATCCTCACTGGTATACATCGATGTTTTGCCGTAAGACACTTGCTCTAAGGCTCTTCAGTACCAAATTGGATAACACATTCATTCACCTATTTGATTTAATCCCAGCCAAGAGGAATCTTAGTTAATAAAACATTTTATTAAAACAACGATGAAAATAAAATAAAAACAACAATAAAAATTAATTGGCGCTCCAGAAGAATCTTATTTGAATTGAAGGGGTTATATTTTTAGGATATTCTTTTCGTGTAATTCAATGTTTATATGAAAGTAGCTGTTTCAGGAGGACTTTCTTTCAGTTTGTGTCTGAAAGTTACTTCTTTGCATGATCTACACATCCATGTATAGAGTTACTTATTTTCAAATTGATTACTTCCTTTCTTTGGAAGATTCCCTCATCTTTTTTTTTTGTATCAAGATGAGGTAGTAGAAAGCCAAAAACTTTCCCAAAAATTAATCACTCCTAAAAATATAACCCCTAAATAAAGGTACTACAAAACTTCGAAAATAAGTTTGTAAAATTATAATAGTGGTACTGAAGAGAGAAAACTGTGTATGGGGTCAATACTCAAACGAATAATTATGACAAAATCTCGGAGATAACAAATATCCTCGAGTACCTGAGAGCATTTATAGAAGAACTGAAGGTCCAAGAAAAATCGAATAAGGGACATTGAAACAGAGCAACAAGAAATGTTGATGAAAGAGGAAAACAAAGAACAGGAATGCAAAAAAATAACTGGGAGAACGAGAATTTAAAAGAGAAACAAAAAGAAGACCAACTAGAACATCAGCAATTGGAGGAGTAAAAACATTAATTATTTAAAAAAAATTAGTGAGGATCAACAAATAAATTGAAGGTAATATCAGAGAGGTTTGGAATGAATTGCAAACTTCCAGCGTTCAAGTAAAAGTAGTTGAAGTAGAAGTGTCAAGGATTAATGAATGGTCATGGAAGAAGTGAACAAGGAATTAGACAAAAAGGCGAGGAAACTGAAAAATCAACTTGATCTCATATCGATAATATGGGGGACATCACAAAGTAAAACACTGAACCCTCATACTTTTGATGGTCAGTCATCATGGGCCTTGTGCCAAGTAAGCAGCCGACTCCAATGGCAAGACAGAAGCACTAGTACTGCCACTGCGAGGTCAGGCACTTGGGATACTCCATAACATTCCAAAATGATAACTAAAAGAACGCGTAAGTAAAGTCAAACAATTTAATGTTGAAGTAATACATTGTTGATGATGAAAACTCAAAAGTTTACAAATGTTTACTGTGTAGGGAGATGAGACTGGCCTGAACGAATTGTTCTTAGATAATTTGATTTTAGTTTACAAATGGATCGAGTGCTTTATCCTGTAATGTTATCCAGATTCGTGCTGAAGAGGCAAAAAGACAAGTGTCTTATTCCGAAACATCGATGTCCGCCATTGAGGATGACAGTGTTCCATGTAAGTGAAATTTTACCCCTCTCATATACGATATTGTGTAGCAATCCTGTGAATGATATCTGGATCAATTCCATAACGAATGTTTGGAACGATATTTCAGTGCAATATGAACCAACGAATGAAAAATTGGAAAACATATTTGAAAAAACTTACACTGCAGATAATGTATGACCATCAACGCCCACGAGTAACTAGAAACTGTCATGTTTTTTGCGTCATTGATGTTGTTTGCTTGGGCCCAAAGTTTCACCATTATTACTATAGGGCGTACCCTCCAATCTAATCTAGCATAACAATACAAAAGGCGGGTATTCCGAATTCCCACCGAGTTGTTACAGTTCAGATCTATTTCGAATCCAGTATCTTTATCTTTGAATTTAAGTATTGGTACTTTGGCGTAAATCAGTTCAGGATCAACGTCGGTCAGTTCTGAAACACCGAACCAAATAAGAACAAAACATATGTTAGAAATAACAATATAAAATAAAGAAAAATGCAAAATTTGATTTTGTTTCAAAATTTCAATGTAAAATACCAACAGTCTACACTTGAAAATTAATGAATATTACTGAGTAATCTTCCAATAAAAGCACTTATTATTATTATCAAAAAGGACACTTCATTTAGTAGGTCAAGACTCTTAGAAAGAACTATTTTTTCAAATTGAACCATCCTTAAATATCAAGAACAATATAAAATGCTTAGGTTGGTAAATGATTGTAACCTTAACTGGGCTAAAAATTGAGTTTTTTAACACACTAACCTGGCTAGAACGATATACGCGGTCTGTTGAAAAAATGAAATGAATTTTCATTTTTCTCAAAGAATATTTTTCTGTAAACATTGTGCTTCAATATTTTAATGAAATAAATGAACTACTGCCACTAAAAAACTTTTGATTTCCTACACAAAAATTATTTTCTTCAATAACTCCAACTACTTACCATTTTTCAGAAGTAGATTTTTTATTGACTCCAAGTGTTGAAGTGCATCATGTCTAGGATCATTTGTACATGGTTTGGTTAGTAGACACATGTCTATATCACTACTCTCCAACCCAAAACCCGACATGGTTGATCCCACCATGAATAAACCGTAACTACTCAAACATTTCTGAAAATCATAATATATCATATAAAAATGAAAAGATGTTCCCTTAAATTTACACAATTCTTGCAAAAGTAAGCAAAACTTTTTGGGATACATATAAAGCAAAGGCGGATTTAGATCTAAATTAGGGGGGTTCTCTAAAACTGGTCTTCCAGGCACGCATCAATAATATCTCGTATAGAAAGAAAGGATTATCATCAAATGATTGAAAGAGAAATATGTTTTAGCAAGACAAAATAGATCACGTGGAGGCTTTAATGTATGAATTATTTGCATTCACAACATTCACTAGTTATAAGGCTGTATCCAAGTATCTCACCCTAATATTTAAAAAAATATTTTTCCATAGACTTATTTTACTCTCGTATGTATCTTCTTTTTGAGCCTTGCTAGTGAATACATCCCAAACAGTCTGATTCAGTTGGTCCCACGGCCCACCGTTCAACAACCCAGGCGGATTTGGGTCGATTCTCATGAGATTCGATTTGGACCTGAATCTCTCCACCAATCCGTGGGCACGCTTTATCATGGAATCCATGCTATTTTTATGGTGTACGTTGTGTTTTTGACGTCCGTTTGTACTAGCATTTGTTGTACCATTGCTATTTGTATAGCTCCTAAAAAAAACCAGTCTATGTTCAACATAGTTGAAAGTAGTTGTTGAACCTAAACTCGAACTTTAATTTCAGAAACTATAAAACTAGCGCCAGATTTTTCTATACCGGGTGGTCCAAACATGTGGTAAACCTCATGATTTATCAGGCAATAGATGACTTCATTGATCAAATTCATTTTAAATTTCTAAACTTACTGAAAGTTTCTAATTATGTTTCCTTTTATTACCAATGAAGTTTGATTTATGCATCTGTCAAATTGCTAAATGTAGTGAAAATATATTTTACGTTAGTAGTCAGGTCCACAAGTTTGAATCATCTAGTATAACACTACTTCAGTTTAGTAAAACAAAGAACAACTTCAGTATATTAGTAAAAAAAATCTCCCCCATTCCAAACCAAAAATAGATTCATAAGGAGAAACCTGTGTAAATCTCAAATAAAAGCGTTTCTGCCAAATTGTGATTGATGATGGTCTTCGTTTGTAATGATTTCGAAGCATTAGGTCTGCACGCGCTGTATTTTTCACTAGTTATCGAGTTATAACAGAAGTTTTGAACGATCGAAACAAAAAGTAATAACAAAAACGCTCTACTGAAAAAATATTTATTGATACTGATAAAAATCCATAGCGTATACGAGTTAACACTTTCTTGTGAGATTTTTCACCACACAGTTTACAAAAATGGAACACGTGTTTCGCTCAGCAGCTTCCTCGAAACACGTGTTGCGGTTTTGTAACACTCATACGCACACAATCCTACCCACACTCATAAACACGTGCGCACGCAACGTACACACAAATTACAAACTCGCGCACGTAACGTACACACAAATTACAAACGCGCGCACGCAACGTACACACAAATTACAAACGCGCGCACGTAACATACACACATACAAATGTACGGTGTCACCAATAAGAGTCAAACTAGTTGACACCATGTGATGTTTTCCATTTGGGATAACCAGGTGTTGCCCTAGTTTTGAGCGAACAGAAATAAAACAAACTGAAAACAAGAACAGACTACAAAGTCACATGCTGTACTTTGACATGGAATACAACTAGTCTCAATTATAGTTCTGTGGTACTAATCCTAGCCACAGAATGTGTATCGGTTCTGTGCTTTCCACGATGACAAATGACAAGACATAAGACAATGACAGCTGACTATTGCTGTAGCAGGTATCGAAAAATAATTTGATCAATTTTCCTGTCGTGAAAGAAAACTTACTAACAAATTTCCTACGAATAAAGATAAAGTACAAAGGTAATCTCAAACCATCACAAAATGAAATAAAAAGTTTGTGAAACATTACTCCCAGAAAAATTGATTGATTTTTCTATTTGACCTGAAAACCAGAAAGTATGAGTGACGACTTGATTGTAGATCCCCAAATCCGATTTTGGGTATTTTTGCCCATAGTCGTGATCACGTTTTTAGTGGGGATACTGAGACATTATGCCTCGATTCTACTTTCCAGTCAAAAGAAAGTCGAAATGCAACAACTCGCTGATTCTCAACTACTCCTAAGAGCCAGAGCTCTGAGAGAAAACTGCGGATATATCCCAAAGAATTCGTTTCTAATGCGAAAGCAAGCATTCAACAAGGAAGACGGTTATCTATTGCAGAAACGGGCTCCAGTTACTCAGAACATGATGACCGATCCTTCGATGATGACAGACATGCTGAAGGGAAACTTGACAAACGTTTTGCCAATGATCGTTATAGGAGGCTGGATAAACTGGGTTTTTTCTGGATTCATTACGACCAAAGTACCATTTCCATTAACACTAAGATTCAAATCTATGCTTCAGCGTGGTATAGAACTGTCACACTTAGATGCTAGTTGGGTTTCTTCAGCATCTTGGTACTTTCTGAATGTATTTGGCTTGAGAAGCATTTATACTCTAGTTCTGGGGGAAAACAATGCTGCCGATCAAAGTCGTCAAATGCAGGAACAAATGCAAATGACTGGTGCTGCGTCTGGTATGCCTGCTGATCCCAAAATACCTTTCAAAGCCGAATGGGAAGCTTTAGAAATAATCGAGCATCAATGGAAGTTGGCCGATGTAGAAAAGGAACTGTTAGTAGATTGATTATATAGAACTATTGATAAGTGTAATTTTTTTGTTTAGCATCTGGATTGCATTTTCTCAGTGTTAAGTTTGATTAATTGTATATTAAAATCTTGAGAAATGAAATTTGGCGTTTTCATTCTATTTTAAGAACACACAAGTAACTTTGACAATCATCGTTACTTCATTCTATGTTCTTGATGAAAGTCTCATTGATATTGTTCAAAATGATTCAAAAAAATACTGATGGACAATGAAAGCATTTCTGAACTAAATTTCCCTTCAGAAGTGTACTTTAGTTCGGACAAAGACCATCTCTGTATTTTCATTCATATAATAAAATTATCCAATATCTAACTGTGCACTACTAGTAGACAATTCACCCATGTTTTGTGAATGGTTTTCTGATTGAATCCAAAATGTAGAAAATTCCACATGAAGTTCAACGCAAACTATAATGGTGATAGTCACCAAGAAGTATTTCTTTGTGCCCAAGTATAAAAATTGTAGTGGTTGAAAATGCCAGCACTGCTCACATAAGCTTCGTCTGTCCAAAAACAATTTTACGAAAAATCACGCAATTGGTTACAACTTTCCAGGAACCACTGGCAAAAAGCCATGGGGCGTTCAAAAGCTCCTGGTCTAAGGTGATGAACTCTTCTGGTCCTATATGGCTTGAATTTGTGTTTTTAAATCCTCCTAGTTCTTGATAGGCCTGTTGATACGTATTTTCAAATTTTGCGTTGACGTTTTGGGATTATTTTCAACAACTCCTTATCCCTATTTGATTCATATAATTTTGGCCTTTTCTTTTCAAATCGACCACCATCGCAATCTTGAGAAAATGTCTCTAAAAAGTTGTCTTCTCTCTGGATATCTCTCGTGATACGAATTGCTTGCTGCTTTTGCATATTCCCCGGTTTGTATAAAACAGACAATCATATCCCACTTTTCATAATTCTCATACATCATTGCGAATGTGTTTGAAAATTGAACAAAAACCAATAATTGAAGAGCGTCTTTACTGCTTACTTTACTGATCAGTGTGTGTTTCTAGCAAAACATCAAGTGTGCTAAATTTGAAAAGGTAATTTCAAAGTATATTGAAATATGCAGGAATATACATGAATGAATATGATACTTAGTATCAATGAATCAAAGTTCATTTGCAACTGGGGGCATAAAAGTAACCATAGCTTTTAAAGTGCCTGAAATACAATATCATATTCTTAGCCTTCATGAAAATTGCAGGCTCAGAAAAACCATATAGTATATATGAAATTTCCATCAAAACAGCAGATCTATCACATCAAGCTATAATACAGTTATTGTTTTGGAAAGAAAGGTTTCAGCTTTCTACTTGTCCATCCTCATACAGTGGAAATCTTTCAATGAAAGGAAGAAAGCAAAAAATTCCCTTTTTTGGAAGATTCCCACATTTTTTTGTATAAAGATGGAGAAGTTGAGAGCCAAAATCTTTCCCAAACATCAATGTCTCCTAAAAATAATATATCCTTACTATCTTTGTAGAACATTCTTTATGTTGAAGTTTTTTGAAACCACAATTATTTGTAATGATTATGAAAACAAACTCATAAGTTTGAACCACTTATTATTCTTATTATTGGTAGGATATTTATTTATATATTTTTACCGATTCATGCCTTCAGAAGCAAATAGTTTTTACTGTAATTAGATAAGCTGTTAAGTATATACCCAAAGTTTTCTGACATATACAAAATACATAAACAACTACTTAACCACTACTACTTCATATAAAACTTTTGAATAATAATGATACATAAAAAAAACAACAAAAAATGATAATAGAGATAAATAAAAAAATAATTCCCCAAACAAAAATTCATTCTAATAGAAATTTTTCATGAAAAATATTTTGAAAGTTCCTATTTTGTACCATCTGTTGAAAAAAATGAGTTAAAATTATGTAGTTATTTACTGGCTATGCAACAAATTTCAAGACATTTAAAAATGAAAATTTCATGAAAAACTTTAAAACAGACAAATAATTCATGCAAAAATAAAAAATACCTACGTCTACACAACAACTCAAGGACAAATAAAACCACAAAAGCTGACGACGCACAACACATAATCATTACCTAGTTTTGTTGTAGTGTCCATTGTTATGGGTACCATTTTGAATATTGGATGTGTATTGAACATTAGTATGATATACATTAGGTGTACTTTGGCTATATTTGCCAAACACTACATTTTGGTCGTTCAGCTTGTTCACTCCGCATCTTGAAGTGTTATAATATTTTAAACCTTGAAAAAATATCACAAAACGTTTCGATCAATTTGATGGTCCAATTTTCCTAAATAACTTGTAACTTATGAATATTCAACTAGCATTTCTATTTTATAATATAGCTATCTCTATACTCTCTTAGGATGTTAATTTAAATCTCACTTATAACACATCTGTTCCAGCGTTCTCTGAAAAGGTTACTGGAAGACGGTACTAATGAAAGTTCAAAATAAGACATAGAAAATGACATATTCAGTATAAAAATAATAGTAAATGTTTCTATAATTTTTCAAGAAGTCATTGTATTTCCCAAGAAATGTACCATGTTTTTACTAGAGAAAAAATTAATAATATGAAAAAGAACATTAGAAAGTTCATTTGTTAAGTATGTGAAATTTCATTAATGGAATTCTAGATAGACTTGGATGTGGGATTTTCTTTACATTTTTCGTTTGATTCTTTGGAGTTATGTGTAGTAAGTTTCAAGTCATAAGAATACATATATATTATGAGTTGCCAATGAAAATTAATGATCCAAATACTAGGCCTTGTGGCTTACAAATTAGGAGTGTGTGTTCATGAATCCACCGCAATATACTTTATACCATTTTTTCATAGAAATTTTAGGAATTTAGAATCAAATGTATATCAGGGTTTTAGGAGTAAAAATTGGCTATTGGTACTTCACACAGAAAATGAATGATAAAGTGTACACATAGACCAGGCCTAAATACGTCCTTATTCATAGAAAGTTATTATTGAATAATACTCACGATTGTCTGTCGGCGTTCCTCTTGAAGAATAAGATGTACAGCTCTCATCACTGTCATATCCCTTAGGAGAAATAGGCCTATAGTTATCTCTTGATCTTGTATTATCTCTGGGCTGGTATCGCTTAACCGTATTGTTGTTATTGTTATAATTGACCATTTTATGGGGTGGCGGAGGCATTATGCGAAGATTCAACAAATTTTGATTAATAACATCCACTGTGCCCAGCTTCACTTCGGATTTATTCATATTATTGTTCAACATATTCAAATCCTCATGATCTGGCTTCTTATATTGACCAATTGTATAACTAGGCTGAGAAAAAATGTCCAAAAACACGGCATCAGGAATAAAATTCAAATTAGGATTTGCCATCATCTGTGATTCTACTGCCATTTTTTCTAATTAGGCGTATTCAGTAGCAAAAAAATGTATCAAACAATTTTTTCTTTGATTACCAAAAAAGCTGCAGGTTAAGGAAATGGCAAATGGAAAATCTCCTTCTTGAAAGGAACTTCTTCAATTTTTACTCATATCGAAGTTAATTTACGATGTTGACGTATTGAATTGTATCGAGACTTGCTTAAATCGCATTCCATCTAACCTTTTTTGGCAATTTTAAAAAAATTCTGACATTTCCATATCATTTTTGGCAATGTAAAAAAACACTCACCTACCAACCGAATGCGTTTGCGCGCAGAAAATCTTCATTGTTGCCATATTGGAATAACACTAAGGGAGAAGGAAACTATTTTTGGTTCAGATAAGTCATTAAATTGTAACAAAAAATACTTTTTAGTCATTGTGTGCTTTCGTTTCCTTCCTTCAGTTCTATTGATTATCCAAGTTTCTTTACAGCTTTTCAAATTGAAGATTCTTTTTCTTGGTTAGGATATTGAAAATGCTTATGTGCATGTCCATTCCTAGTGTTTACTTCTGTACAGTGGTTTTTGTTTTGCCATAGAATGAAACTTTCTGTGTTTTTGTCACAGAATACCTTTAAAAAACCGACAAGTATCAGGATATTGAGCGTTGAGTTTCTGTGACAGTTTCGTAACAGGAGGAGCATTGGTCATATGCGCCTGAAAATAGAGAGTGAGAGAGTTTCTGTGACCTTTATCCTGTGTTGAAGGAGTTTAATTAATATTAGGTATTTTTTCGGTGTTGTTATAGGGTTCATATTATATTTCATAACCATATCAATTTAAACACTCAATATTAATCAAAATGTGCTTGACGTTTAGACTGCCAATTGTATAAATATAATATTTATTGATTTCTTTAGGACATCCTAATACACATACATTATTTTAAAAATATATAAATAAATGACATAAATAACAAAAATGATATGATAGAAGAAAAAAAATAAAAACCATTTTTCAATGATTCCAGAATGGTTTCAACATGAGGATATACATAATAAATATAGTTTTTTTTTTGAATTGGAAAACATTTATTGAATCTTTCAACTAAAGTGGGAGTTTGTTATACTCATTTAAACCTTTATAAAATAAAGACTTCATCGTACTAGTCAAATTAGTTCGAGGAAGGTGGAATTTTTGGGAGCTACTCGCTCTTGTTAAATGGTTATGGATTTGAGATTTATATATACAGAATTCTTCAAAATCAGTTGAAAGCAAGTTATGTGTTAGTTTGAAAATGAATATCATTGCTAAATCGTACAGTCTCTGGGAAACAGACAGCCACTGCAATGTACTTAACATATTTGATATACTAGAATAGGTACCTATTCACTTGTAAAATAATCCTCATTCCACGATTCTGTAACTTTTGTAAAGCCGATACCTTATTTTGGTCAAATGAGTATCAGACTAGCACAATCATCAAAATGAGGTTGGATTATACAATTATATAATGTAATTTTTGAGTAAATCGAAAGCCGAGATGAAATTCTTGAGAAAAAATATATTTTTTAGTAATGTTTCTATATATATAATCAAAATGAGCACGAAGAGATAAACGATTATCCACCATGAAACCTAAGTATTTGAATTCACTTACGAACTCTATTACATCACCTGTAATTTGTAATCTTATGTTGAGATTGTTGATGAGTGATAGCTTATAACCAGTTGATAAGATCATATATTTTGTTTTGGAGGTGTTGAGTTTTAATTTATTGCTATTCACGTACTTGAAAACATGTCTTAGTTCATTATTCATTTGATCAGCTACTGTTTCTATATTATCTCCTGAAATTGATAACAAAGTCGTCTGCAAAAAGGTTCATGAAATCACAACCATGGATGGTATCTAATAATTGTGCGGCAAGATTATTGTTGTTTCGAAAGTTTTAACTTTCAGGTGGAAATGCTAAAAACACCGTTACACTTTGCTTTGTTCGTGTGAAGTTATGAACACATTGAAATTGAAGAAAATTCGATCACCATTATACATTGGCTTCAGACGGTTTTGACCGGTTTATAACCAATAGACCTTTCCTTTTGGTGAAACGGGCTCCAACAGTACAACTTGCAGATCAACTCAATCGACAAAAGCTATCGTCACGGTGGATTTGTAAGATTATTTCCACGGTTTTCCCTTCAACTGAAAAGTGAATGCGCCAAATGAAGAATAACGCCTAAAAATAGTCAAGTTGCTCCTTTATATTCCAATATTATTATTATTACGATTGTTGTGTTGTTTGATCATCGTAAAATTTTTCAATTGACTTTATCACTTTTTTTGAATTTGAAATTAACTATTTTTCAAGGTCATAGCGAAATCGGATATCTTCGTTATAATTATGTATTATAAGAATTTGGCCAATTAAAAAACGAGTGTTTAAGATAAAAATACAAATATCGAAATATTTATTCTTAAATTGCCATCACTAAGAAACTTTAGGCATTACTTTTTGTTTTTATTAATTTCTTTAATAATATAGACACCTTAGGCCGATAAATTATGTGGAAATTCTGAGCAGTTGCATATCAAAGTAACAAAACATATATTTATTGCATCTGACATTTTTGCATCAATATATACTTAACTGAAAAAAGACCATTATTTTAAAAGGTCGATAAAAACTTGGCTGAAGGTCATCATTTTACATTGCTCGAGAGACAGCTCAATTTAAATTTAATTGAACTTAATTAGGATGCGGAGAAAAAAACAGTAAAATAATATTTAGTCAAATTCATTCACTGTTTGCTGAGAGATAAAATATGGATTTGAGTATTCCTTGGAAAAATACAGAAAGAACTTTCATAATTGCAGAAATTGGGCAGAACCATCAAGGCGATATAAACATAGCCAAACAATTAATCAAGGCTGCTAAAGTAAGTGGAAAAAAAATTGTTCACAAATTAGGCAAAAGTCAAGTGTCATTGCGCTTCTTGTGCAGTTTCCGTTACATTCGTTCATTGGTCTATTCCGAACATATTTTGTTTCCATTGGTTGACTATGTATGAAGAGAATTTTAAGAGAACCAATGGTAATAAATATTCTGTCATAATTTTCTGATATATAGATTAGTCAGGGAAGCTATAGATTACGCTGTAGACCACCCCTCCCGATATAGAAGGCCCCGACACACTTTCGAATGAGGCTCCTATGTCCTCCGTTAACAGATGAATAATATCTTCATCTATCTCACCCCAGCCAGGTAGGGGTACAACGCGAAGGGCGGTACTGATGTCTGAGGACAGTCATGCCACCATCAATGATCAGTTATGACTAAACTGACCATTTTTTTTTCAACTCAAAACGGGACGTCCATATACTTATAACATACCTATGTATGTATGTATGGTCCATGCAGTATGGACCATACTCCATACTGTATCTTCTTCCACTTTACCTCGACAGTGGTTAATGTGACAGTGATTATTAAATTATATGCAACATATTATATTTTTAATCGTATTTATATTTTTCGGAGGAACAAATTTACTTCAATAAAGATGTTTTGAATGGCGATATCTCCGGAAGTTAATACGCGTGTCAAATTTCGACTTTCAAGGAATAAGTGTAGGCAAGAAATAATTATTTTCCTTCAAAAAATTCTTATAAAAAATAAATATGAAATAATTTCATTCGTTTTTTTCAGGAATTTGGTGCAGATTGTGCGAAATTTCAAAAAACAAATCTTCAAGAAAAATTCAACATAGCTGCTTTGAAGAGACCTTACCCATCTATTCATTCTTTTGGAAAAACTTATGGCGAACATAAGGCGCGTTTGGAGTTCACTGAAAATAATTTCAAAGATCTACAAAACTATGCAAGAGAAATTGGAATTTTATTCACAGCCTCAGCGATGGATTCGAAATCGTTAAGTTTTCTTGTTGAGTTAGATGTCCCCTTCATTAAAATCGGTTCTGGAGATGCCAATAATTTTTCATTAATAGAAAAGGCAGCTGAAACTAATATTCCCTTGATTATATCAACAGGTGATTTGTTTACAAAAATCTTATTCGGATCATTCCTTCATTTCCATTGATAATTTCAGGAATGCAATCCTTCGCTACAGTGAAAGAAATATACCACATAGTTTCAAAGTACCATAAGAACTTTGCACTTCTTCATTGTATTTCTGCTTATCCAGCTCCTCTCGAAGATATCAATTTGAATGTCATCAATTTATTCAAATCAGAATTTCCAGACATCACAATAGGATATTCTGGACATGAACTTGGGACGCATATTTCAACAGCTGCTGTAGCTTTGGGATGCAAGGTAAACAGAATAAACTAGGGGATAATAAAATACATGTATCAATTGAATTGAATCCAAACTTTGGATGAAAGAAGGCGATGCCTTGAATCATCTCATAAATTAGATTGAATATACATTTGTCTTGTTTGATAGTTACTCAATGCCGACAAAGTTGTTGATAAAAAGAAAGTCACTGTTGAATACTTATTTAGAAGATCAAATATGTAGTAGTTTCAAACCATTACATTTCCATAGCCTTGATCTACTTCTCAAATAAATAAAATCGCCATTAAGTTTTGAATTTTGATGCAAGAAAATATAATATCATTCCTATTGTTGAATTATAAAATGTTATGATTTTCTTAAAATGGTTCTGTTAAAATATAAGAATTCTTGTTAAAAATTATACAGGGTGTAACTGAATAAGTGTAAAACATTTAAGGAGGTGATTCCTCATCGAAAAAAATATAGGATCTTTCATAAAAAGAAACTTCATTGGAGCATCCCTTGTTGAGATACAGCCCCTTAAAGGGGGTACATNGTTACACCCTGTATAATATAATTTATTTTCCTACACACATTGCGAGTTACCATTAATAAAAAAAGTTAACGATGTATAGTTTATATACGAACCCCAAAACCATTACAATATCTCAAGAAATAAGTGATTAGTAGTCACTATCCATTGAATATATTTTTAAAGATGTTCAATGAAATATTTTTTCCCAACAGATAATTGAACGTCATCTGACTGTAGATAAAAAGCAAAAAGGTTCAGATCATGCATGTTCTTTGGAACCTGAGGAATTGCAAGAGTTAGTGAGTAATATTCGAACACTGGAAATAGCTATGGGAAAACCAACCAAAGCAATGAGATTTTCCGAAAAACTGTGTTATGAGAAGCTTGGTAAATCTTTGGTATATGCAAAACCATTGAAGGAAGGCTATAAATTAGGTTTCAATGATTTAATAACTAAAGTCGCTGAACCGAAAGGAATTGATGGAAGTGAAATAAGAAAGATAGTTGGTAAAATCTTGGCAAAAGATGTATTGGAAGACGAATCTGTACTCAAGGAACATTTATTGTAATAATTTTTTTAATATAAAAAATAAAATCTAAAGGCTTATTTCTTCCGTTCATACTTCCATACATACACTGGAGCACTGTCTTTTGTTCCTTTCCTAATTCGTCTGGGAGGTAACATACTCTTTTTATTCTCCACTGCTTTAGATATTTCAATCTTCTGCTGTGTAATAGCAAGTTGCCTCTCTCTGTTTATTCTCTTTCCTAATGTTTCATACAAAGATTTTCGTTTCCTCGCAGATGCCATCAGCATACCTTCATCTACCTCTGGCAATTCCTTCTCCATTAAAAGCTCCAAGCTTCGTTTTTCAGCTTCTTTCTTCATTTCTTTATCAAAATAAATGTGACTATTGGTACTTTCAAACTCTATGCTTGGCAAGTGCAACTGTGCTTGTAGTTTCTCTATTTTATTCAACTCTTGAGTTCTTTTAGTGACGATATATTTCAAATCTTGCGTTTTCATCAACTGGATTTGGTCAATAGTGTCTTCTGGTTCGGTTTCTTTATCGAAATGTTTTCCATCTTCAGTTTTTGAGTTTATCATGTGATGATAAAATTCATCAGGATTTTTATTCAGAGCTCTTTTGCGTAAAATCTTTAATGTGGCCTTTTTTTCATTGTAGTCTTTTGCACGACGAACATAATCCTTTTTCTTTTCCAGAAGTCCCAAATGTTGTCGTTCCTCAGGTTGATGTCGTTCCCTGTGAGTTTTTTGATGAGCTTTCGAAGCATTTTTCCAAACTGACATCGTGTATTCTATATATTAAGAGTTGTGAATAAAATTTTAAACACTACTTAACCTAAACACTGAACTTCGTAAGTGCTAACTTCTGAGCCACCTAACCTTATTTACTAATCAAAAAATTAATCTTCTTCTCTTCGTTTCGTGGTGTCACAAAACTGTAGTTTCGACTTCTTCTTATTCATCTAGTGGCCTGAGCTACTGGGGAACAGAAGTTTTTACAAAACTTATCAAAGTGATTGTGTACTGCCAGTTTATGCAAGCTTATGACCTTGATATATTGGAGTATGCGAATATCAATCGGTTCAAACACCAGGATTTCTTTGTAACGTTCTAATGTCAATGACAATTTAGTCCATGCCGTTGACCATAAGGAAGTGGTCACATGAAATGATCTAAATTCAAGAACAAAAATAAAATGTCAAGTGGCAACACTGACACTTGACACCTGAACTGCCATTTTTTTCCCAATCAGCTTTCATTAATTATATGGAAAGATTATTATTTGAAAGATTATTTATTAATATCTAGCTAAAGGGGACTGCCAAACTAATAATAAGAACTTGAAAGAGATCTTTTGCAGATTTTAGTGGTGATATTTTGAACATTTTTAAAATGTCTAAAAAAGCTGTAGATACTTTTCAAAATAAAATAACTCGAAATGATCGATTTGCACAAATGTCTCAGCAAGAAAGAATAATAGAACAAAAGAAAAAAGAGATACAAGCTAAACTTGAAGCTAAAGAGAAAGCAAGTAAAGCTGAGGTAAAACAAAGTCCCAAGAGGTAATTCTTGTTTCTTCACTATATTCAGTACCTTACGAATTGAAATATTACAGTGTTAGTACGTCATCAAATCAGAAGGATGGCAAAAATGTTTTTTCCAATGATGGGTCATTCTTGAACCAATTCAAACAAATTAAGGAATCGAAGAAGTTGGATTTGAAACCCAAATCTTTCAACAAACTGAAAGATCGTTTTGATAAAAGTTATAGGTCTGATTTAATACTTCACTTTAGATTTGATCAAACAATTTTTTTTTCTTTATAGTGATGATCGAAGTAAAAATCACAAAAGGACTTCTCACAGATCACCTTCGCCTAAAGACCGCTTTCAGAAACGAACTTCCCGCTTTTCAAATGAAAAAGTTTCCAATTTGGAGCCTAAGATAACAATCAATACTTCTTTCAGTAGTTCTTCATTAGTGCACCAACAAATATCATCCCAAGGCAATTATCAAATTCCACCTGTTTCTCTCAGTACTCAAGATGTTACAGGTCAACCTTTATTGAAAAATGTACTTCCCCAACCCATCGTAACTTACCAAAATATTCCTGAGCAAGTTTCAGTAACTGAAGCTGTAATAAGTGCTTCTCCTGTACTGCTCAACGTCGCATCTCCTCAAATAGTTCAAGGAGATATTAGTCATGATACTTTAGTTTTTACCCAAACCGGTCCATCTCCAAATATTATAGTATCAACATCATTGCCAACAATCTTGACCACCGTTAATTTACCTCAGCCAATAGATACCTCCAATATCACGCCTGTACCTCCTCCCTGCTTGCCAACAGTTGAGCTAGCTACAATTCCTGCACCCAACCCAATCCAAGTACAAAACATACCACAACCGGAACCTTTGAACGCATTGAACATCCCTCAACCTGCTCCAATTCAAGTACAAAACATACCGACCCCCAGTTCACTTCAGTTGAACAAAATACCCAACCCAAAACCTTTGGACTTGATGACTATACCAACACCAAATGAGGGTAACATCGTGTGCAACGGAAATTTTATGAAAAGTATTCCCCCTCCTAACAAGTCAGTACCTCCCCCCCAAATACAAGACAATACCATGTCGATATTGCCACAGCAACAAACTGTTACCCAGAATATTATGATTCATAATATGCCGCCTCCTAGCCAGCAACCCACGTTTTCAACGGTAACTGTTACTTTGCCTGTAGTTGTAGGGCAGGTTTCCACTGCTCCAACAATACCTAATAATATACCTTCCCTTATGGCTCAACCAATTCTTCCTCCGCCCGGTATGGGTATGAACATTAATATGAACTGCCCACCCCCCTTGCTGCAGATGCATGCCGTAGGAGGATTGCAGAACCAGATGTCGTTTGTGAACCAGCCACCCCCTATAGCAAACCAAATGCCAATGATGAGCGTTCCTCCCCCTCCTAATGTACACAGTATGACTGGAATGGGACATGGTTCAAACTTCAAAGATATAAATATAGGTAATAACATTTTCAATCGTATATTGTTCATTATTCAGTTGAAAGAAAGAGCGAAGTATTTGCAGTTATTGTTACAGATCCTTCTACCATCTTGTTTGTTTTTATGAAGCCTGAAGTTATGTTAACATTGAACCAAGAAAATAAACACCATAATTCAATGTCATTATTGATCTAGCCTGCAAAGAACTTTGAATTGAATTATTTTGTTTCGATGCAAAGTCCCTCCCTTGATTTATTTTTATTTGAAATAGGAATATTTTTGTTTTATTCAAATATTGTGGAAGTAAGTCATTTTATTTTAATGTTTACCATATGTCGATATAAATTACTCAAAAATCTCAGTTGAAGCAAATATAGGGAGCACATTTGTCAAATATTTATTGCCGTTTTCCTGAGTTATATTTTTTGTGATGAATAAAGCTGCTTGCCTAGAGAGATGCAGTATATGTTTCAACATCATAGATATCTCTACCGGAACTTCAAATTAAACTAACAAAACAGTGATTAAATTGCTTATTTAATTTGTCCCATAATTTTACATTTAGAGTAAATAATTTTGCTTCTAGAAAAGTAAAGAACCAATTTCTCAATTTGAAAGAAATATCTACATTACACATTTCTTTCTCAAAATCTTGAATAAACAGTTGAAAAATTTATGGAAAACTTTTTTAGATAAGTGATTTCAATCAATATATTCTGCAGACTGAAATAAAGAAGAAAACATTTTTAGAAATTGTATAGCCTGAAATTTGTTGACAGAAATATGCTAACTTCTCATTAGTTTGAATTCCTGTGTTATTTGTTTCACTCAGCTGGATAAATTAATTTCTCCAGAAGTTGGATCAATTTGTGTCATTGCAAATGAGGAAAGATAACATTGGGTATACCACAGTGCTCCATATTAGGTCCTATTTTGTTTATTGTGTATGTGAACAGCATTGACTCTATAATTGAAGACAGTAGTTACACAGCCTATGCTGATGATTTTTCATTAATTGTCTTTGCACCTGGTACTACAATTTTAGAAAGTAAATATTCAAGAGCATCTAATCAAGTATCCAGTTTCTTTTTATGGGCACGATGTATTTTCCAACACAGATAAAACATAGGTTATTTGTATTTATAATAGAGAAAGCAAGTAAAGCTGAGGTAAAACAAAGCTTCAATGTACTCCTGCAGATGTCAGAAACTTGAATTGTCAACACATTTAGAAATTTGCATTTCAAGAAAGTATTATTTGTCATGAAAGGTAAAAACCCAGGAATTCAAATTGATAATAGGCAAAAAATTATTTCGGTCTATGTTGAACATAACTAGGTATATATTTCAGGAATATTTATAGGTTTTCGAAGCAGTACATGAATATTTAATTTCGATTTGTCCTTTCGAAAAGGGCAAATAAAGGCAAGGATGATTTACCAATGTAGCTAATACGATTTTGAAAAAATCTAATTGATGATAAAAATTACCAGATCTATTCATGTTTGAGACGATTATTGACAGACGGTTAATACTTTCTTCTCATTATTGTTCTGAAAGTTCAGGCATTGTTCACAAAACAGTGGTTGAAGCTCTTGATTAAAATGCGTAGATCTAGAGTAATATTGACTTGTTTTGCCATTGTTATTAATGTAGTCATCCTTGCCAAGTAGTAACAGGTCGTTTTAGTGACGTGTTGTGAAGTTTTCCCCCCAGGTACACCAGAGTACGAAGCAATGGCTTCTCTGGGACGCATGGTGGCTGAATGCGGAGAAAGTATCGAGGACATCGTACGGCAGCGAAAAAACCAAGATCCAAATCTGTGGTATGCGAGGCAGCACACTGCAAATAACTTAGAAATATAACAGATTAAGTCCATTTATTATTATTATTTTGGTTTGCGACTTATCAAAGACGTGCTTTTGTTTAGAAATCGTAATTTTTTTATCTTAGTCATAGTCTACAATTACAGCATATTTAATGTAGATAAATGGTTGGCTCATTCGAAATTTTCTGGCGAAATCAAAATAGTGGACTTCAGAAATTGTGAGAGATAGAAGGAGGGTTAAAATTGAGGAGAAATTGCTTTTCTCAGAGCCTCAAAATATGAAATTTTGTTAGCGTTTTGACACCCTCACACAAATTCCAATTACTATCAAAGTGATGGGGTTCAGATCAACACTGCTGATCAATTATGGGTAACTATGAGAATTGCATTAAAAAAGAAATGAACAACTCATTGAGAAATACACTTTAATAATAATAAAATTAGATGTATCCAATCCAAGTCGATGATATTAACTTCACCTTATTTTTATCCCTGTTATGAACATTCTTGTTTCTTGGGATTAATAAGACTTAGTATTTTATCATTAGTAATACATACAAGATGAGTTTTGTTAGTCAAATTTGTAAATCAACAAGTATAGTTGATTTGTTTGAAGATGGTTTGACAATTTATATAAAATGATTTGAATTCCCTCAAAGAACCAATACAATTGAAAATCAAAACTGAATAGCTGAAAAAAATAATTTTATTAAGCAGAAAAACCCTGAAATGAAATTACAGTGAAATAAAANTAAACATGAAACATTGTCAATCACCTTCAAACAAAAGTAAAAACATAGTTCTGGTATATTACAAAAAAACATAATTCAGCGGTAATACAGTAGTAGTAATAAGCTCACATGGTAGAGTAACTTTCAATTTGGGCTTACGTATTTTGACTAGAGTGTAAAAGTTTCTTAACATGGTTCTTAACTTGACCAATAGGTTCATAATAAATGTCGAGATTTTCATAGAGTTGATTGTAAAGTTTGCTCATTGCAACAACTGGTGACTTGAGTAATATGTTTGTTCTAGAATTTGGTAGAATTATATTCAATAGACGGATATAATAATGTCAGGACAGACAATTCCGCTTCGATAAGTTTGTTGGGGGTTTAAAATTGACACCAACTAACTTGGCACAATCATGTCGCTGGAATTGCAAAGGCTGCTTCTCAGAAGGTTAGAACACTGTTCCGTTCCAGGAAACTGTACACACCTCAGCAACTTTTGATGCTTCATAAAGCTCAGATCAGGCTGTCTCTGGAGTATTGTTCTCATGTGTGGCGCTCCGCCCACCAAGCATACCACGAAGCTGCTGGATTCCACCTAGAAAAGAGACATCCGCTTGATTGGAGACTGAAGCATCACTTGCAACCTTGATGGTCTGGAACATCGAAGAAAGTTTGGAGATTTGTCTCTCTTTCATAAATACTTTCATGGGAGGCGTTCAAGTGATTTGGCACAATTGATTCCGCCAAGAGCAGTACATATACGCGACAAACTGTGGCTGCTCATCGTTTTGAGGTTCAACTCAGTACACATCAAACTTCACTGCTTAAGAACTCTCTCCTTTGGAGAACTGCGTGTATGTGGAATGAACTTCCTAAGAACGTTTTTCCAAATGAATTTAATCTCCGGCGATTCAAATCTAACGTGAATCGTTACTTTGGCACAGGCACCGCTCTTAGAGCGCCTAAAGGATTTTTCTGTAGTGCTTGTGTTCTGTCCTTTAAAAAAATCAAGTTACCTTACAGAGGTTAGTCTTGCAAAAGTTTCTCATTCATCCAGCTGCAGGAGCATGCTGAAATCAATCGGGTAGATCATCTACAAATCGGTGTCGAGGTATTCCCTCTCATTAGTTTTGGAAAGATCCAACCCAAACAGCAGAGTGCCTGAGACTCAATACGGCTTGACTGTAACAGCTCCATCTTGTGAACAAAGCCCCAAGCTGGAAAGAAACATCCCATGTACCAATACACAAACAGAAATCAAAATTAGTCTGAAGTAGTAGTACCATAACTGCCCTAGAATCATTCCGTAATGTAGCAAAACTGTGTTAATCCCCTTCAACAAGAGAAGAAAATTGGAGGATCTGACGCCACTTGTGGTCATTCCATTTGGAACGGAGGTGAAATACCTTGGCATTGTCCTTGATAAAAGACTCGCCTGGAACGCTCACTTGGAAAAGTTTTACACAAAGCCAGACTGTCTCTATGGACATGTCGAAGGATTTGTGGTAAAACTTGGGGTTTAGGTCCTAAACAAATCCATTGGATTTGTGTGATAATTGTCAGACCAATGATCACTTATGGTGCAATTGCTTGGTGACCGAAGGCTTTACAGAAAACGGCCCAAGCGAAGCTCTCTGGCTTACAGAGACAGGCTTGTCTGGCTATAAGTGGTGCCATCAGTATCACACCGTCAGCAGCCATGGAGATCCTTCTAGATCTACCTCCTCTCCACATTTTTCTGGAAAGAGAGGCTAGATGGACTGCATACAGACTTGTGCACATTGCCAATTGCACAAATCAGTTCAATGCAGAGTACAACAGACTGTTGGTTGACATTGGAAGTCACAGCATTCTGGAAATGACCTCTGACTTTATGCCTCCAACTGTCAACTACGAACTGCCTTATAAAGTACTATTCCCGACTAGAGAGGACTGGATCCTCCGGGAAAAGGAAATATTAAGAGCAGATAGTTGTTGGTTCACAGATGGATCAAAAACACCTTCCGGTTCTGGTGCAGGTGTTTTCAGTTGCAGACCTAGGACAGAGTTATCTACCAGCCTAGGAACTTATGTGACTGTATTTCAAGCTGAAATTTACGCTATTGAATTGTGTGCGGAGAGATTGGATGAATCCAACCTCACTCACAAGTCAATGGAAATATTCTCGGACAGTCAAGCGGCGTTGAAAGCTCTTGGTTCCTACCAAGCAACGTCTTAATTGGTAGCAAACTGCCAAAAACGACTCTCCTCGATAGGAAGACTTAACAGATTATCTCTGGTCTGGATTCCTGGACATACTGACCTGGAAGGCAATGAAGCTGCTGACTCTCTTGCAAAGGAGGGTGCTGCAAGTGGCTTCATTGGACCAGAACCTGTCCATCGCTTTTGGCTTCGCCAAACAAACACTGAACACCTGGATGGTAAGAAGATTTATGGACTTCTGGCAGAATCTTCCAGGATTGGCTCACTCCAAGGCGTTTATTCACCTTTGGAAGCTTGATTCCAAACAGTGGTTGGACTACAGTAGGGATGAACTACGATGTCCAACAGGCCTTCTTACAGGTCACTGTCATTTGAATCATCACACGCAGAGACTTGGACTGTCGGAAGACAGTATGTGTCGCCTATGTCTGGAAAATGATGAAACAGCAGAGCATATACTTTGTGCCTGCCCCGCAGGGGACCGAATCAGGTTCTTTGAGTTCGCAGATCCGTTCTCTCACCATCTGACCTGAAAGATCACTCACCATACAAACTAATCAGCTTCGTTAAGAAGCTGGGTTTATTTGGCCGAGTGTGAATAGGAGTGAGCCACAATAAACCCTTGCGGGTTGCGGTGGAGGGTCGAATAGACCCACTCACTTCAGACCTACCTACCATAACTGCCCTAGAATCATTCCGTAATGTGAAAATAGTTGTGAACAGGCTTTATTATTGCCATGAAGTGAACATTTATTGGGATGAACTGGAGTGAGTTTATGGTTTGTTTGCAGATTGTTGAAAATAATATAAAACTACTAATTGCTCAGCAACGGCTAGTTTGGTTTCGAAAAATGAGTCAGTGTTGAATAGAGAATGGAAGGTTTCATCAAAGAGACCTCTTTTTCTATGTGAAAAAAGTTAATAGCCCCTTATCACCGATGAGTGATGCCAAACTATTGTGTTTCTTATTGAAGAAAAGTGAAAATAATGCTTTTTTATGCACTAGCCATTACTATATTTTCATCTGTCCATTGCTAGTCTTATAATGTAATCAGTTGAGACTGGCCTGAACGAATTGTTCTTAGATAATTTATCCTATTTTCAATATTTGTGAGAAGCGTCCTGTTTCGAATGACAAATGTACCAAATAAGTCATCAGAAAGATAATATGAGGTAGTGGTAACTTTATTTTAAAGTTCGGGATTTCGTCCGACCCAGCTGATTTTTTATTTTGTTATTTATTTGTTTTACAAATTAAAAGTGTGCACTTTTCAATCCTTTCTCTTGTTTCATTAAGGAAATGATGGCAACCGAGTTGTGGGCTACAGAACTCAACAAACAAGCGGAGGGTAAGCACCACATAGGAGACTTTCTGCCTCCAGAGGAACTGAAGCGGTTCATGGAAAAATCTACCGCCGTCAAGGAGGGTCGGCAGCCCAACTTCTCCGATTACAAAGACTTCAAGATAAAAGAAGACAACATTGGTTTCAAAATGCTGCAAAAGCTTGGGTGGTCAGAAGGCGAAGGATTGGGATCTGCTGGAACCGGAATTGTGGAACCTGTTAATAAGTAAATGCATTTAGTAGTTTGATTAGTGCTGAGCCAAAAACTGTTTTATTCTGATTTGCTTGTACCGTTTCAGAGCAGCTCCTAGGGAACACACGCAAGGTTTGGGTTTGAATGAAGAACATGTAGATAACGAGGATGAATACGAATCGTATAGAAAGCGAATGATGCTGGCTTACAGATTCCGACCCAATCCTTTGGTAAGTCTGTGCTACATATTCATTTGAATTTCGTCAGGATAATTTTAATATTGAGTGAATGCTACGGAAACTGACATCGCAATTAAATTGTGAGAAGTGTGTAAAAACCACTACTCTCTTGGCTAATGCAATTAACAGATGTTCATTCAGTTTTCGTTGTACATTTACCTTTACTTGACACAAATATTTAAAAGAATGAAGAGATTGAAACAAATATTATGTTGAACTTTCAGAACAATCCAAGGCGGCCGTATTATTGAAGATCAATAACTTCATCTCCATGCGTAAAGTTGAGTATTCTACATATAGTGTAAATAAAAGTCATTTTGTTATATTTTCTTCATTTTTGTTTCGAGCAAAACAAATATTATTGGGTCAGTTTGTTGAGTAATAAATATCTTCAATTCATATTGTAATTTTATTTAATTATCATTAGTTTTCTTTCCAACCAATCGCCGCAATTCTATGGATACTTCCATCACGGTCAGTAACAGAATATTGTGATTATACGGGGTTTGTTCAAAAAATAAGGTAAATGTTCAAATTTCGCGGGCTACGGACATTCGATTAGCGACTTTTTTATGTTGGTACGCTCGTCTCGAACATATGTTCACAGTTTAAACTGTTTAGCATGTTTAGTTTGTCGGTGAGAGGCATTAAAGTTGGAAGTGTTTCGCCTGTTCATCGATTTTCTGCTATCGAAAAAAATCGATCATAGAATTTATATTAATTTTTGTGTAAAAAATTGATTTAAATGCTAAAAAATCACTTGAAATGTTGACAGTGGTGTACGGTGTCAAACAATATAATATCATAATCAAGCCTTTATTCTAAATTACAAAATTTCTCATCGAAAGCGGCCATGAAACCATAGTTTTGGCTGTACAGCAATATTGTGAAGGGACACTAAACGATTTGCTATTATATCTAAACTCTCTCGATCCAAAAAACCAATTCTCAATGGAAAGAGAAACCCATAGGTTAGGTTAGGTTAGGCTCAAAGTGAGTGGGTCTATTCGACCCTCCACCGCAACCCGCAAGGGTTTATTGCGGCTCACACCTATTCACACTCGACCAAATAAACCCAGCTTCTTAACGAAGCTGATTAGTTTGTATAGTGAGGGGTCTTTCAGGTCATATGGAACCTGACAGAACCTGATTCGGTCCCCAGCGGGGCAGGCACAAAGTGTATGCTCTGCTGGTTCATCGTTAATGAGGTAGTTGAATAGTCAAAGTGCAAGATTCATACCTTGATACCCGCGACAACCTTCCCCTATGAGGGCTTTAGGGTTTTTGCACGTCAGCTACACCTGACGATGCCTTAGATTCAACCGTACAGGGCTTTTTCGCCTATGATTTTGGTAAATCATCACTTGAGCGCAAACGTTTGCTAACCTGCTCATTGGAGGTTTGTTCCTCCACCTGAGACAGATTCTGCGCTCAATAATTTGGTGCAAGGCGGTTTCGTAAGGTACCCCGCTCTCGAGGAAACGACTCGGTCGTTTTCTGTCTGCACCACCAAATCTTTTTTTTTTAGGTTCACTTATTGGATCAGGAATTGGAGAGTTAAGAAGCTCTCACTCCTGATCTAAATTTACAAGGAGGTCAGTTGGAGTCAAGCTCGACATCCTCTGTAGACTCAGTGTCAGAAAGAATTTGTAAGTCTACTCTGTCCATGAAAATCCCACGAGTAGCTAGAGAAAGAAGGTCAGTTACGGCAAAGACCCGCATTACCCTGACAGTTAGGGAATAACAGAACCACAAGTGATTCTGTCATTCCCGTATCCAGCGGGGCTACGTGGAAGCAGGCATACGATGGTCGGTTTGCTCAATCCCCACATCTCAAGCCAAAAACAGCATGCACAGTGGTTCAGGCAGTGAAAGATGAACAAGGATAGCCAACCCGTCAAAACCCATTAGATTAGATTAATAT